AGGCCAGCAGAGCTTCGACGACTTCCAGACGCACATGTGGCAGCTGCTGCGCGAGATGCAGGCGCGCGGCCCGCCCCCCCGCGCCGACACCGACATCGGCGCGCAGCTGTACCGCGTGATGGAGGCGGCCAGGCAGGAGGCGGAGAAGCAGCCGGTGAGGGGGGGGGCAGGGGGGGGAGCATGCTGCGGGTACGGAGGGGCGGGGGTGGGGGCAGGGGGGGGAGCATGCTGCCGGTTACGGAGGGGCGGGGGTGGGGGCAGGGGGGGGAGCATGCTGCCGGTTACGGAGGGGGCGCTTCTGGGGTTGTTGTTGTTCTTGGGTTAGGTCTGTGGAGGATGACCCGTGGGCCAAGGCGGAATGACGACGTGAATTTTAAAGCAGTGTTGGGGGTTAGTGCTCGTGTAGTTCTTTGTAAATTGGGGCTAGCTTTCTGTTCCCTCCTATTCGCCTGCACGCATGTTTGCCGCTTATAACCTCGTTTCTCACGCTCCCTCCTCTCCGCCCCCCAACCCACCCCCAGGCCAAGGGCTGGCGGTGGTGGCGGCGAGGTCCCGCCATCACGGAGGAGCGCATCCTGTCGGAGGTGGGAGAGGGTGGGGAGGGGGGGTTGGGAGGGGTTTGGGGGGGGATGCGGGTTGGGAGGGTGGCGGAGGGGAAAAGGGTGAAGGGGCCGAGGGTGAAGGGCGCGGGTGTCGGGGGCCGATGTGCTCCTAAACCTACCACCTGGCGTGTGTGTTGGGTTGGTGGGTCTGGCTGTCGGGCTGTCTGCGGTGTGCCGATGACCCGCTTAAGAGGAACGTGCCGTGGCACACCGGGGCTGACTGCCCTGCTGCCCCGGCCCCGCCTGTCCGCGCCCCTCGCAACATCCCCTACGGTAACCCCTCTGCCATCTGCCATCTGCCATCTGGCCGCCTGGCTGCCTGCCTGCCGCCCCGCAGATCGGCATCCTGTTCGTGGAGGGGTTCGAGACCACCGGCCACACCATCAGCTGGACCCTGTTCAACATCGCCACCACGCCAGGTGGGTGCGCGGACACGTGTGTGTGAGGGGAGGCAGGGAGGCAGGGGGGTGGGTGGGTTACGTGAAGGGGATACCACAACCCTAACGTAAGAGAAACCATTTTTACGTGGGTGGTGGACCCGTGGTGGCTGGTGGGGCTCGGCCGCCTACCAGACCACCGTCCTGTCCACCTCCAGCCCTTTCTCACACCCCTCCGCCCCCTCCACCCCCGCACCCCTCACTCCCGCTCCCATCCCCCTCCAGGCGTGCAGGAGGCCATCGCCGCCGAGCTGGGCTCGCTGGGTCTGCTGGTGCGGGGGCGCGGCGAGGGCGGCCGGGGGGCGGCCCGCCCGCTGGACCTGGAGGACCTGAAGCGCCTGCGCTACCTGACGGCGTGCGTCAAGGTGGAGAGGGGAGGGTGGTGGATAATTAACAAAATAGTGTGTTACCGGTACGACTGGTTAAACCCACCCGCCCAAGCCGCCGCCCGTAACCCGCCTCCCTCCTCCCCTCACCTCTCCCTCACCTCTCATCCTCCCATCCTCTTTGCGTGTTTCTAGGATAGTGTCTCCGAATGCACTCACTGCATGAGTCGGGATATGGGATTGGGACTTTAGTTGTTTGCATTTCTTATATAATTTTCCCCCTGCAGGAGGCGATGCGCATGTTCCCAGTGGTGTCGGTGATGGGCAGGTGGGGGAACGGGGGGGGGGGGGGGGGAAGAGGGTTGGTGGGTGGGGGGGCCAAGTCTTAAGGGCACCGGGGCATGGGGTGCTGGGCAATGTGACACGCAGGTCGAGTAGCCGACCTTCCACTGCCAGCGCTGCTCATCGCGCCTCCCTCGGCTCCTATGTTCCTGCTGCCCCAAGCAACTCCGCACCCCTGGCCCCTATACGCCCTTGACGGCCCTTGTTTCTGCCCGGGATGTACTCCGGGATAGAAACACACCGGCACCTTGCAGCCATTTCCTGCCCCTGCTCCCCCCCCCCTGCTCTTCCAGGATCGCGCAGCGCCCCACCCGTGTGGGCCCCTACCTGGTCCCCGCCGGTACCCCGGTGGCCACCCCGCTGTTCGCCATCCAGAACACCCGACACAACTGGGAGCAGCCGCAGGAGTTCCGACCGGAGAGGTGGCTGGGTAGGTTGGGGAGAAGGGGAGGTGGCGGGGGAGGTGGCTGTGGGAGGTGGCTGTGGGAGGTGGCGGGAGAGGTGGCGGGGGAGGTGGAGAGGTCTGATGCGCGAGGAGAAAGAGAAGAGGATGGGCAGGGCCGCATGCAGGGAGTGGGCGGCACAGGGAGTGTGGTGGTGGGGGTATGGTCGGAAACGCGGGGGCTGGGTTGGTTCCTGTGTGCCGAATGGGTGGAGCGGTTGCATGTCGTGTACGGCACGCATCCCGCTGCATGCGTCCTTTCTGTCATGTTTGTATGGGGTCGAAGCCAGTTGTCGCAAGCGCTTCGGCCATACCGGCCCTACCGTCCTAACCGCACACGCCCATCTCACCATCCCCTCCATACCCCTCCCCCTCCAACCTTCCTTCTCCTCCTCACTCCCCCACCTCACTCCCCCTCCCCTCCAGACGTGCCGCTGGAGGCTTACGTGGTGGACATGCGCGTCAAGGAGGGCAAGCTGAACACCACCACTACCCCCACCCCCACCGCCAGCACCCCCGCCACCCCCACCAACACCTCCGCCGCATCCATTAACCCCTACGCCTCCGCCACCGCCGCCGCCACCGCCGCCGCCGCCTCCGCCGCCGCTGCCCCCGCCGGCCCCATCGAGCACGAGGACCCGCAGGACGTCCCCGCGCCCCTCCCTTCCATGAGCAGCACCCCCAACCCGGGCCGCAACACCAGCAACAGCAGCAGCAACCCCCCTGCCGCAAGCAACAGCAGCAACACCCCCGGCCCTGCTGCCGGCACCGCCCCCACCCCCACCCCCACCGTTCCCGGCACCACCCGGCGCCGCGCCTCTGTTCCCATCGACGGCGGCCGCAAGTGGAAGGGCGGTGACGAGGATGATGAGGACGATGATGACGCGGACATGATGGGGGGCGGCCGCAACGGCAAGCGCTCGGGCATCAGCTTCATGCCCTTCAGCGAGGGGCCGCGCAGTTGCGTGGGGCAGTCGCTGGCCAAGCTAGAGGTGATGACGGTGCTCGCCATGCTGCTGGCGCACTTCAGGATTGAACTGGCGGAGGAGGTGAGGGGGGCGGGGGGCGGGGAGGGGATGTGGGGGCGGATAGCGGTAGTAGAGGAGGAGGACGCATGTGGAGTCGCGTTGAGTAGGGTAGATGGTAATGGGGAGTGATGTGGGACCCTGGGCGGTCCATGTAATACCGTGCGTATAGTATTGTTGCCATGTGATAACGTGCTGTTGGGGTCAAGGAATGAATAGCGATACGTGATGTAGCACCCTTCCCCATTCAGCAAGTGCACGGCGGTACTTACGCAACCCGCTGCCTTCCCTCTGTGTTTACGCTGCATGTGCATGCAGATGGGCGGCCGCGAGGGCGTTAGGCAGCGCGAGAGCACCCACCTGACGCTGCAGACGCGCGGACTGCAGGGCATCCGCATGCACCTCCACCCGCGCGACATGGAGCCGTGAGAGGGAGAGGGTCTGCGACCCATGGGTCATCAGTTGGGTCAGTTGGGTGCAATCCGTGGATGGTGTTGGGGTTGGAAATGGATGGGCCTTTTGTATTGGCTGGGTAAAAATCGGGACAGGGAGGTGGGAGAGGATCCTTCCAATCGTAGGATTGCTTGCGTGGACATTTATGCCAGTTGACATGGTACAGCAGGAGGGGTTACTGGGGAAGCCCCCGGTGCGTTTTTGGAGAGGTTCGCGGCAGAGTTGCTTGTGTTGGTGTTTGGTGGTAGCAGTGGTTATGATGAGTTGTTCATAGTGCATAGTTAATGTATAGATGTGGATACATAGTTGGGCGTTGACGCATGTATGGTTGGGTGATTTCTTCTTGCAGGCTCTATGAATGGCTTGCTTACGGCTTGAAGCGAAACGCGACATCATTTACGAGGCTTGTTGGCGATGTTTCATCAATCCTTTCTGACCGGTAGCGATGATAGTTGGGAATTATTGTTACCCGCCCCCGTACCGGTAATCGGTGACGTAATGTTTCCGCCTGCTGTGCAAGACTGTACGACGTGCAAGGGGTCTGGGACATGTTGGGAATAAAGAGCAGGCGCTGTGTTAGGAAAGTACTGAATTGTGTGTGAAGAAGCTTTTTTTCGTGTTCACGTTGCCTCATCATGCCGGTTGCGGTCGCAAACGTGCTCAACACAAAAGTGCTGGTGCGAAACACGGGTGTGTGGGTGTGTGTGTTTGGGGTGCAGGTGAACACGGATATTCACCGTCCCATGGGTCACACATGGTGCTGGGGGCTACACTTTCCCCAAACTCACTTTCGGGGTTGCTCGTGTGCATGATGAAGTTCGGTGCTTCCGGTTTTGCGTTCACTACTGAAGTGCCTTTCCCTAAATGTTTGTGCCTCCCCTTAGCTGCCAACCCATAATGACCACCTTTCAATTGTATATATGGACCTCTGACTTTGAGGAATGCAGCACTACTTGTTACTGCATGACTTTTTATGCCATGACTTGTTCCTTACGGCACGTACGTTTTGTTGACATCGCTGCAATACTACTGCCACCCGCAGCGCGGTTTCATTCTTTTGACTGTAGCGCAATACGCGGAGGGGGGCCTGTGTTGTACGACACTACACTTGGCGCGCTAGAATGCCGTACTTTTCGTAGTCGTCAAGGGAGAGGTTAAGTTTGTGTCGTACGCTTCGCAGGTGGGCATATGCATGGGTTGAATGTTTCATTCGGTTTGTGCGCTGCGTTGCTCTCCCGCTGCGGCGTCTACATATGTGGGAAGTTGGCTGAACATGTAATTTGCACCGGCTTCTTTTGCCGTAATGACTTGTATGCCCTTATTCAGGGTCTGAATCCGGATTGCAACAGCTCTTGCAACCTGCCAGGGGTACTCCCATTCCTTTACATGTCGAGGCGTGGAAGGATGACAATGAATTGGCACTTTTGACTGATACAGTTATGTAGGACCATTACTACTAATAACGTTCCAGCCCGAGTACAATTGCGTGTCCACCCCATGTGGCTGCGGAGCCCTCATACTACTACTACTACTGGTGTAGGTAGGTTGGAGGCAATCATACACCATGTGCAGATGCCAACAGCATTCGTCCTGTTAGTTCGCAACCGCCGCTTGTCAATGCAACAGACAAAAACAACGCCAACCGCGCAATACCCTACACATCATTCGGCATCAACTCATCTTGCTTCCTAGCATGCCTCTTTAAGATAAGCAGCATTACTCTAGCAGCCAGTACCTACCCCTGGCCTCTCCACGATATGCAGCAGCATCATGTTTCTCTACCAGCTGCAGCCAGTAGCATGCCATACCCCTGGCATGCGTCCCCAGCATCCTTCACTATCTACCAAGCATCGGCAACCCATTAATCTCACTTGCGCAGCACCTGGAAATGGAAGTTGCCTCCCCAGGTCTCCGCAGACCCCACCCCCCGTAGCGCCAGGTGGATCCACAGCTCGGCTAGGGCCTGTGTGCGTGTGTTAACATGTGTGCGTGTGTGCGGGGTGGGAGCGAGCAGGGGTAGTTGCGGCAGCAGCAGCAAGCGGGCAGCAGCGTAGGAAGGCAGAGGGGCATGGAAGGCGGGAATCGAATGGGACGCGCACTTCGCACAGCGTATTCACGGCAACGTCGGGCTAGCGAGCGACTGTGGAACACCCTCCCAACAACATCCCATCCGTTTGCGAGTTAGGACCCGTGGGTCACAGCTTCATGCACATGTCGCCCGCCCCATCCCCCGAATCTACTAGGTGAGCCCCGACGGACGATACCGCCGGTACCGTGCCCATGCATGAGATATACTTACCTCCAGATTCCTGGCATAGCGAATGGGCCCCAGGTACTCCGGCTTGAATCCCACCGCCGCAATCACCTCCTCGACCAGCTCCCGCCCCTGCGGCCCGCCCGCGAACATCATAGTGAGCTGCTGCCCCGTGAGCAGCGAGCCGTCCGCGTGGTCCATGTGGTTGACGCCTGATGACCCATGGGTCGGGCGGAAAGGCGGGACGGTGCGAGTGGGCGGGGTAGAGACATGGGAAAGACAAGCAGTGGTAGTACGGTAACTAGAGAATGGTGATGAGAAGGACGCGGGGTATAGAGGAAGGAGAAGGGAAACAGGAGCGAGCTGGATGAATTGCTGGTTGCCCTAACGCCCCGTGGCGCTATGGGGCGTCGAGCCGTCGACTGCCCTCACCATCACTCACCGATCGTGTTAAAGGCCTTGTAGACGGGAGTATTGGGAAGGGCTTCGGCCAGGACCTCGCCGCCTGCAAGGTTGTTACAACAGGGGTGCCTGAGGTAACAGCGCATCCCAACCGCACCACATGCATGGAAGCGTACGAAGGGCGCTTACATTGTCAGCATACCATGCTTGGTCATGCCTCCATTCGTACACCAGTACCCCATCTCCGCACTCATTGTTTCGGTAGCTTTGGAACCGTCCCTGACCCACCCACCTGAGCGCCCGCTCCAGCGCACCTCCAGCCCGGGGTACGGCGTGAGGGGGTTGGTGGCGTCAACGACCACCTGGAAGGGCTCAGCGGGGAACGAAACAACCAGGGGTGGGTTGCGGCAGGCGGGGGTGTGTGGGATTGCGCTGTCCTGAGGGTTCTCCATGCAAGGGAGTCAACTTCTCCTACATACCGGCAAGGTAGTACCGTTATGACCAGGTGTTGTGTATGAGCGTGGCGGTATGGTGGCAGGGCATGAGGCATTAGTTCCGCAGTAGGGTGCACTGTACGACACGGCATGCAAGTCCGCACGGGCGCAACTCAAAACGGATCTCTCGTCGCGTACATGCTGTGTGAAGCTTGGAGGCCAACCAGAACAACCCCCGGACAGTCCGGCCTCCATACCTTGCCTAGGATCTCGGGCCCCATGCTTGCAGCCATCTGCTTTATTCCGGCGTCATCGTTCGAGCCTGCGTGCGAGCTAACCTTGCGTGTGTTGCTATCTCTTTGGCATGCGCGGGAAGCCTATCTAGGAAGGTAGGCGGGCATTTTCCTAGGCAATGCCCAACCATACCGAAGTACTTGCGCTGTGACTGCGTTCAAGGCAGCAGAAGCTGACCTGGTACTGCAAGGATAACGACGTCGCTTGCTTTAATGGCGTCTGCAACGCTCAGCACCTTGGTGTTGGGCGCCTTAGTAAGGTCGGCATACTTTGAGATATCCCTGACGCCGAACGTGACGGGGTGCTTTCGAGAAATCATTTTGCCAAGGGTCTTGCCAACACCACCCGCCCCGACAATGGCGACATTAATGGCCATGGCTGTCGCTTTCCAACTACCAGGTGTTACTGTGTACCGTTATTATAATATGCGTTTTCTTCAGGGTAAGGTAATACGTAACATAGTAGCTTTCGTTTAAGGAAACTTGTCGTCGATAATGGTAGCTATGACGTAGCACCAAGCTTGACCGAGATTCGCTATCCATGCACCCGTTCCAATGAACGAAATGCGAAAATCTCCCGGCAGCAGACTTCAGTTAATTAAGCACAACACAATACAAGGATAGATTCTTTTGTGGCAAGGACATTCACCCAAGCGCTCGGCCCTTGCAAGGGCAATGTCTTAACAACGTATTGTCAATGGCTGCATATATAAGTAACGCCACTCAAGCACTTCAGAGAGGACCCAACCCGGAAGTATGACGCTTCCCATTAGTAGCATACGGGTTCCGCGACTGCCCAACTTCTTGGGCAATAACTAGCAATAACTACTTAAGTTTTACTGCATACAGCGACGGCTGTGTGCATTGCCGTGGAAGCAAAGATCCTGAGGCCATCACGCTGGCCATGTGCGCTATCTCCTTGCGGGCTGATGGGTGATAGACAAGGAAACGGCATGGTTGCCTCGAGCACCAAGTGGCAATTCATGCACGCAGCAAGGTAGGGGAAGTGAGAAGACGCCGCGACAAAACTAGATGCCCACCGCAGCGCAGCGCAGTGCTAGCGTAGGGGCTTTGGGTTGGCTTGTTGCCCGAAGGCTCTTCCAAACACCCACGCCGCAGGCAAGGAAAGTGTATCAGCCGATGGATTGTGCAAGGTAAGCTCATGTGTGCCGTGTACTCAAGTCCATACGATACAATGGTCTGTATCACAGGGTTGGCTTTGCGGGTGCGCAACCCTAGACTTGCGTTATATGGCCGCAAGACGAGCGCTCCAACATGAAATGAGTTTGTGCAGGCTGAAGTTGTCGTTCGCAGTAGCCAGGAAACTTTTATAAGTGTAAGTATGACACTTTCATAAAGCTTACTCAGTGCACGAAACTGAGGTATTGATTTGACCAAGTTGGCTGTTTCATTGTTAAACAATCCGCGGGATCTTATCTTCGTTTTGAGCTTGGCCGGGTAACCATCCTGCCAAAGGATACAAAAAGATACGCCGCCGTACATCTTACGTAAGCCTGTCTCAAAGCACAAGACGCTAAATGCTAGACTGAACACTCTGCGTACTCCTCGTATCTTTCTGCAAGGGGACGTTGCCCTTGCGCTTATGGTGTTGTCTCATACACTTCTAGCCAGCTATTGCGCATCAACGTCGCTGGACGGAAATTTCTTGGGCAGCGGTGTTATCTACGTAACAATGAAAGCGGCAATAAAGCGTTTTTTTGTGAAGGACAACCGGCCGGAAGCTTGCAATACCTCCCAGCCTGCTGTTTGTATGAAAACGGCCCTTCCTCCAAGCGATGAAACGTCTACGCACTCGTCGACGCGTGCATCTTGCTCTCCTTTTCCATTGGAAGCGGCAAACGGGCAGAAGACTACGGTATCTCATGAGCCATTATACGCTCATCCGCCATCAGGCAGCATAGGACGCTCTCCAACATGCGTTGATGAAGCTGCCCCTATAATATGGGGAGACAGCCTGCAGCGCGCAAGCCGAGGCGCGCCCACTGAGACTACATTTGCCACGTCGCTTGCCAATGAAAGCACGGGACCGTCGAGCACGTGGCGGGAAAAACGCACAGCTCAGCAACGTAGCTCCGTTGACTTGACAATGGTGAACCTTCCCGCTGTGGGCCATCTCGCGGAGTCAGAATGGACACGGGCTCTAACTGGCAACATCAAGCAATTGGCACAGGTGCAAGGGGCACTGTGCGGCCACGCCGCATCCATGCCAAACTCTCCATTCGCTTCCCAAGTTGGCGGACGGCCAAGCTTAATCTTTCAGGCGCGGCGGCAAAGCTTCGTTCTGGGATGTGCAGCAAGCTCCGATGTTTCCCCTGGCCACTCCAATAAGTCCAGCGGATCGCACCTGCGAACCCAGCGAGGCAACAATGGATTACTCCTGCTTGCCTCTGTAGGAGGTGACGAAACAGGTGAGGCGCTGGGAGGTGCACGCCACGTCGCTCTTCTCCACGAACCCCGCCTCAGCGAGACCCTCCACTTTTCCCCTCCCCCCATTCACATGCAAGTCCCGACCCCCACATGCCCTTCCAACCCATATCCAACACAACTACCCGCCTACCCGCTTTGACGGCACCTCAACCGCCCCCAGATGCCGACCTCTCCTCCGCGACTGGCACCGCTGCGGCCTCCAGCGGCCTGCTCCCCTGCGTGGTGCCGCCGGCGCTGCTGGCCGAGGCCGCCAAGACGGGAGTGAGCCTGCAGGTGGACCTGGAGACGGAGGTGCAGTTGGACCCGGAGCTGCCGCCGCTGGGACGCGGTGTGTCGGGGTCGGTGTTCAGGGGGACGTACAAGGGACAGGAGTGCGCGGTCAAGGTGAGTGGGGGGGTGTAGGTGGGGTTGAAGGACCATAGGAAGGCGGCGGGGGTTGCTGTGTTAATGTCCATCCAAGGTGGCGTTGCGCGTGCCTGTGCGGGCATATACTTCCTTTTACCGTACTTATGAACCCCTCCCCTCTCTGCCACCCCTCCTCCCTCTTTCCCCCATCCCCCCCCGCCCGGTCAGATCCTGCCGCCCGACCTGCTGCTCAGCTCCGGCAGCGCCGAGCTGCACACCTTTGTGCAGGAGATGGTGGTGCTGGCCTCCGTACGGCACCCCAACATCGTGACCTTCCTGGGCGGCAGCCTGCAGCCGCCGCACGTGTTTCTGGTGGAGGAGCTGTGCGCCACCAGCCTGGACGCCTGGCTGCACCGGGGGGCGCTGGGGGGCGCCATGAGCGCATGGCAGCGGCTGCGGGTGGCGCTGGATGTGGCGACGGGGCTGGAGTACCTGCATGAGCGGCAGCCGGCGATTGTGCACAGAGGTGGGTGGTTGAGGGGGGGAGGGGTGGGGGTGGGGGTTGTGTATTGGAGGAGGCGTGCGTGGGTGATGGAGGATGGATGGAGGGGTAGGTGGGTAGGGTTGAGCCGGGGTTGAGCACAGGGGCCAGGAGTCTGGGCTGGGTGTGCAGTTGGAGCGAGAAGAGGTGACTGGCCAAAATCCGGCGTGCTTTGCCGGATGTGCGCGAGAGGTAACTCTTCTACTTGTGTGACGAACCCGCTCCTCTCCTCTCCCCCTGATGCGCCCGCCTGCAGACCTGAAGCCCGCCAACATCCTCATTGACGCCAGCGGGACCGCAAAGGTGCGACTGTCGCACGTCGGCATGTGCACTGATGCAGATCGTTACTGCTGCTGCTCCCCTTAGAAGACTCCTGGTTCCTGTCGCGCGAAGGGCCATCACGATAGCGCGCCGTTAGTGCATCACCCGGGGTGCTGTACGGAGGCGAGCATCCGAGCGTTGGGAAGCCCTGCTTTTGGCTCTCGCTCGTTGAACCCTCAGTGCGCAACTGACCTCCCATTCATCGTTCACCGTTCTGCCCTCAGATCAGCGATTTCGGGCTGGCTCGCGTCAAGACGCACGCCGTGATCAACACCAAGGCCCCGGAAGTGGGGTCCATCGGCTACATGGCGCCAGGTGGGAGGGAGCCGGACTGGGGGAGGGGGGCGCGGTGGCTGGAACAGCTTGACCCCTGTTCGCCTGTATTCGTTCGGCTTGCGTGCACGAGAACAATGGCGCCGCCGACACGCGCTAGGCTTTAAGCCGCAGCCCAGCACGCGACCATGCATGTCAAAGCTTTTACCTGTTGCCACTCGAGGCCTTTTGTCTGCTACCGACTCCTCCATGTTAGCATCCGTCCTCGTGTGCTGAGTGCTGTGAACGCCGCTGCTGCTGCTGCCGCGTGTGCACCTGCAGAGTGCTTCACGGCGGAGGACGGGTTGCTGACCGACAAGTGCGACACGGTGAGGCGGGTGGGGCATGCAGATGCGGCACATGCATGTCTGTGCTCGGGTTGGCGTGTTGTGATCCTGCGTTATCCGCCACCTCCGGCATTCCTTGTTCCCTTCCTGACGAGCCCGCCGGACTCCTGCCCATGCGCCCGCACCTGCAGTGGTCGCTGGGTGTGGTGCTGTGGGAGATGGTCACTCGCAAGCGGCCCTGGCCGGTGAGTGTCGCCGTGCGCAGGGCGGAACCCATACGTGCATGGGTGCGAAGGGTACACCGGTGCCTCGCTCCTTGTGACTCTTGCACCCGCAAATATCCTGCCCCTACCCACCCTCACCCTGCTTCCTTCTTCCACCTCGTCGCCCTCCCCTCCCCTTCCCCCTCTCCCTTCCTCCCAGGGCCTGACCCTGCCGCAGTACTATCGTGAGGTGGTGCTGCGCAAGTCGCGGCTGCCCATCCCGCAGGACGACTGCGTGTGTCCGCTGGCGCTGCGGCGGCTGATCAGCAGCTGCTGGAGCGATGCGCCGGGGGAGCGGCCCTCCTGCGCGCACATCGTGCAGGAGCTCAGCCGACTGCTCAAATACACGCCCAGGGAGTGAGTGCGATACAAAGTCCGCGAGGAAGTGAGACGGGGGGAAGAAGGGTACCATGGGATCGGGGGCAGGAGGAGGAGGAGGAGCGGAGGGCAGTGAAGGAAGCGTGGTGCCAGATAGACCGGATTGGAGGATGGAGATGCGGGGTGAATGGGAGGAGGACGATGGGGGCGAGGGGTTCGAGGCATGGATTGGGGGAGGTGCTGGCAAGGTGCTTGGAAGGGGGGATGGGTTTGTGCAATCGTGGGTCGACGGCGCAGGCGTGAGGCTAGGATTGTAGCCTGGTAAGTACTGACACATGTGGAGTGAAAGTGCACTCGGCTCAAGGCTTTGGTTGGGCCGCGGCGGCGGCGGCGGCTTCATTGTGACCCATGGGTCGTGAGCGTGACCCGAATGGCGTGCTGTTGAATGGCGCGAATACATTCGGCGTGGATTCCATATCGGTGTGTGCGCACTGTGATACATCTTTCATCTGGTGTGGGTGTTGTCAATTTGCTCGGAGCAAGCCTGAGATGCGCTTGGGGTGCTGTGTTTGACTTGGTGGGGGCATGGTGGGTCAAGCAATTCCCGGGCGTCATTGTGATCCATTGTTAGTGCTGCATTCATGCGTTGTGAGTAACTTAGCATGTACACTTCAAGTTATGTTAGTAGTATGGCTTTGGAATTGCCCGAGCGGGTGGATCCATGCGCACCTGGTACCTCCTTTCGAACGCATACGCTAGCGCGGATAGCATAGTTTCATTGTTTACGAGGATTGTTATACTTGGCCACTCGCACACTACATCTATGAGTAAGAGGGGCGGAGCGCTCCCAGGTTCCCGCGCGCTTGTTCTATTGGCGGCGACAAGTACACGCCCACGCCGAAAATTGGAAATTTTATGGTGATATGATTGGCTGGGTGGATGATTCTCTTGCTGCTTATGCGATGCTGTTACGCACTTCGCAGTGTTTCTTGCTGGAAAGTGCCGGGCGGGTAACGCCAGATGTGGATTTGAATGGGCACTGTTTAGCTTGCTCGGCTGAATCTTAGGTATGGCTCATTCCGGGGCAAAGGAAGGTCGGGGGCTCGTGTTAGCGTTAACCAGGGGTAGCCCGGATAATTGCGGTGCGTCGATTTCTCACTGCATGTTAACTTGCGGAGGACTCTGCTGCGCTGTTTAGGGCCGTCTGGCGCGCTACGTTGGCAATGACGGTGCATCGCTAGACTACTAGGAATGGAAATTATCCTTGCTGCTCAGAAAGGCCGTGATCTGGTTCTGGAAACGCGACCATGTGGTTGCTACGTACGTGTACTTGTACGGCATGGTGCGGACGTCATGCATGGCTTGGGGTTGACCGTGTGTCTGCAAGGGAATGGGGGAGGAGTTGGAAGTCCCTGCATAGATCCGTCAACAGGGGCTATGTCCGAAGGGTGGTGGTGCAGGTTATGCGGCAATGGGGCTGGGGGCCCTTTACTCAATGGTATGTGTGGGTTGGGGTATTGAGAAGGACAGGGGCATGATGGGCGCACCTTGAACTTGAGGGCATGCTGTCGTGCCCCAACACTGGTTTGGCCAACTGGTGCCACCGGGGACCCGTTCAACCTAGAACTAAATCGTTGTGCTACATAGCACACAGTGGGGTATCTTGCCTAAACCTAACTTTTGAGCCGTCTCCACGAACTGAATAATATTGAAATTTATGAAACCGAGGTCCATGCGTTGATGCCATTTCTGGGCTGCTTTCGGTAGTTGTTGGTTTCCTCACTGTTGCTTGCAGAGGTTGTTGCATAGGCCTCGCGTCGCCGTCGTTAGTTCGCATGTTGTTGATGCCTTTGGGTGCTCTCGACGTGCCGGCATGCCATGGGCCTCGCATATCTTGCCGGCATAACCCAATCTCGTGCATTGTGGATCGGCACTGCTATGTAGAGTCGCGCTGCGGCATGAGATACGTGAATTTACTTGAAGAAAGCAGTTGGAAAGTAGTTTGCAACTGGTATGGGGCGCACACTGTTGGGCAGGGGTTTAGGGAAGAAGTATACGGCGTTCGCAATTCCGCATGGGGTCTGGCAAATAGGGGGTTGCACGTGATTGACAGTTGGCGAAACCGGAATTTGTGTGGGTTGCTCCTTCCCCATGTTTGAAGGGGAAGGAGCTACCCACTTTGACTGGTGCGCCTGGACTGGCGGGCCGGGCCGGGCCTGGTGCTGCGTCTGGTACGGTAGTCGTACGATGGTTTTGGGGGAGAGCTCGTCCTGAACTCGCGTGAATACATGTACTACTTGTTCGGTATCATCGTTGATCAGGCCAATACGATGCATTCAGCACATGCACTGAAACATTGTAAATGTTGTCATTTCATTGGGGAAAACGGGCTTAGCTTGTGCAGCTATGCTGCTCGTCCTGGACGCTGACCGCTTGGACGTGCTCGGCCGACATGATTGGCAGTTGCCACCCCGATGGTTTCATCCTAAAGCAGATTGCTCGATCGTAAACGTTGACTGATAACCCACGTCGTCCTAGCATTTTACGTTGGCATAGCAGACAGAAGGGTTGAAGGACTGTTGCAATGAAGCATCGGCGACGCTGCAAATTCCCCTGCCAATCGTCCTTGAGGATCTGTATGCTCTAATCGTTGGAGACTTACCATACCGCCAGACATAAGCGCTCGGAAATAAGGTGAGTAGGTGACTTGGGGTGGCGGATTTATACGAGACATGCCGGCGCGCGGCCAGATGGCAGGTAAGGTACGCATCCACGTTATTGTGTTTACCTATTTCCAAAGTGATTGTTCTGAATACGCGGAGATGAGACTTGTAAGTACGACAGCTTCGATGGTACATTGTGCAGGTAGGAAATGAATCATTTTTGCGCTGCAAATTAACAACCAGAATGCTCATTGCGAACATCACGTCGCTGTCTTAACAAGTTGGAAAATGTTATGCTTTGCGCCGTTGCAGTGCTAACTGTTTTTGGTTTTCAAGAAGGATAGCTGGAAACATGTTTGTGAGGTCTAGTTGGCCGCTACGGCAAAACAGGGCCCGGCGACAGCAGGTTGGAAGCTGCGGTGCTTTGTGTCCCTACGACGTCCCGTCAGTACCCTACTTTCCTTGCATCCAGGTTTTGCCCAACGCTGCAGTCGTCTATGCATTACAGCAAAATGCGGAGGAAACGTTCCACTTTCTCCGCGTGGACAGTCGGCTCTCACTTCCCAGCGAAAACATCATGGTGGCACTGGCTTCCATAGGACAATTGCTGGGGCTGATGGAATCGGACATTGGTGAGCAAGGACTAAGCCGACGCACTGTGTTTTCTCAGAAGCACCCAGCAAACCAGCGTGCGCCACACACCAGCGTGCGCTCGTCCAACGTCTTTATTCGCACATATGTAGGAGTTGGTGTGAGCATGCGTCCTCAATATTCTGCCGAAACGCTCCATTGTGCTAAAGTATGGGCACCCTCTGGTTTGCCTGCACTCAGGGATGTGTCCTTTTGGTTATGTTGGCCCCAGGGCTTCATAACATGTCTACATGTTGCCTCCCTTCCCGCCAACAAACCCATCCCCATCCGGCAGTCCCTAGGGACATTGCCATCCACACTTTGGAGCTTACCGTTTGCCACGCTTTCCCGAACTGCAGAGCGGCTGCTAAACCTGGAACGGAAGGGTATATCGTACGCGGTAACCGGCATGTCGTACACTGAATTCATTCACGCCATACGGTGTTGCGCCATCCTACATGGTCATCTGGCGCTTGAAACGCTGCCTGCGTTACGAGGTAAGCTGCAGGGTTGCAGACCTGCAGAGGCCTTACACTGCCCAAACCTAATTAGGCAAATTCTGCGCTGTCCTCCTTCTGTATGCTCCATAACAATATGGATGCCTCTCCTTCCATGATCACGTCCCGCACCCCCGCGCCGCCCAATATGCAGTACCCGATCTGACTCACGCTCTGTACGGCAGCTTTGTGTCGTACATTCGAGGCGGGCGACCGCAAGCAGGCGGCCCACCGGCGCACGTCGCAGCGGGGGAGCCGCAGCCCTGCATGCTGTGGGGCAGCTTCGTGCGCCTGTGCCGCGATGCTGGATTCGTAAAGCCTGAAGGTATACTGTACCGGTATTTGAAAGGGGTAATGTGGTGGAAGGCGCCCCGCTTAGTATTTCAGTCAGCAAACGTCAGGGCCTTAGGGCTTATAAACGATTAGCTGAGCTAAGCTGAGCTGTAGCCCTGCTCACGGCATGTCGTACCCGCCCGCAGGGCCCATGTCGCTGGTGACCCTGGAGCGCATCTGGCGAGCCTGCAGCGAGCGCTGCGAGCAGGGCCTCACGGAGCAGCTGCACTTTGGCAAGGTACGGCAGGAGTGGGAGGGGGGGCCAAGCCGGGGTATGCAGGCAGGCAGGACCTCCTCGCTAACTGCATATTCCGGGTCAGTGCCCTAGGCTGCAGCGCTGACAATGCAACGCCTTCCTGCGCTCCCTCCTCTGCCCTGCATCCGCTCCTTTCCTCACCCTGCGCCATTTCCCACTCTGCCCTGCATGCGGCGCTACACCTCCTCGCTAACTGCATATTCCGGGTCAGTGCCCTAGGCTGCAGCGCTGACAATGCAACGCCTTCCTGCGCTCCCTCCTCTGCCCTGCATCCGCTCCTTTCCTCACCCTGCGCCATTTCCCACTCTGCCCTGCATGCGGCGCTACACGTTGCGTCGTCATGCAGTTCCTGCGCGCGCTTGCGGTGGTGGGCGGGCAGCTGCGAGCGGAGGTTTTTGTGCCGGTGGCGGCGCTGGGGCTGGCGAGCGAGGTGCCGCCGCTGAAGCGAGTACCCAACACCTACTCGTACAAACACGTGAGTGATGTGACGTGGACACCCCCGTCGTAAGAGGTTGCAATGTGGGGAGGCCCTTGATGGGCGTGATGGGCGTGATGGGCGTAGACACTGACCACTGGGACTGTGGAGGCTTATTCACGTGCAAACGCTCCGTTTCCATGCTGTGAGGCCATTTTCGCCCCCTGTCTCGTCCTGCCTCTGCCCCTGCCCCTGCCCCTGCCTGGCAAATCCGCAGTATCAGGAGGTGGCGGTCAACCTGGGCGGCAAGCGCGCCGTACCGCACCTCACCCTAGAGGCCCTGTCCAGCGCCGTACAGGACAGTGGCCAGTACGAATTCACCACCTTTCTAGATGAGGCGCAGCAGGCGGCGGCGCAGCAGCGGCAGCAGGAGCGCGAGGAGCAGCGGCGGCAGGAGCAGCGGTGGTGCCGCGTGTCACCATGCGTTGCAGCGGCAAGGGCATCCGCATCTGCAGACGACTGCAGCAGCAGCTACTCCAGCGGTATCACGCTGAGCTACGATGAGAGCCTGGCCTTTAGAAGCATGACACAGACGGGAGGCGGTGTGACGGGCAGCGACATGACGCCAGCGGGCAGCCGTGGCGGTGGTGGCGGCGGCGGTGGTGGTGGTGGTGGCACTCTCAGCGCGGGTGCTTCCCCCGTTCGTCCCGTTGCGGCGCCTCCTCCTGCGCGGCCGCGGAGTGCAGGGCTGACGGTGCTGTCGCCGGCTGCTCGGCGGCCCGGGTCGGCCTCGGTCAGGACACGATCAGGGAGCAGCACGGGTGGGTGACATGGGCTCTAGGTTTTGCATTGCGCCGGTCAGCATAGCGCTGCGGGTCTTGCGGAACGTGCCTCTCCTAGGGATCTCTCCAGTCTCCAGTGGACGGTTTGGGTGACGGCTGACGGGCTCGCTCCAAGGGCTATAGTCCTGGCGCCCCGGCTTCCTAGCTCGTGCACCTGTCTGTTTCCCTAACCTCTCTCCCACACCTCACCCCGCCTGCAGGCACGTCTACCAGCTCTCCCCGACGTGCCAGCATGGCCGGCAGCAGCACCCTGCCTCGCAGCCCCCTCAGCGACCCCCCCGAGGCACCCGCGGACAGCTGGCTGGACTGCGACTTCAACGGCCCGGTGCCCAGCTTCAGCGCCCCCACGCAGTCGCAGCCGCCCTCCATACCGCCCGCCAGCCCCTTGTCGCGGGCCAGCACCGGCATCTCGGGCCGCAGGCTGGATACCGATGAGATGCTGCCCGCCAGTCGGGAATCTTCCAGCGTTCAGTTCCTTTGGACGCCTCGCTCGGTGCTGCCCGGCTATGAAGACTCCCCTCGGGCTTCCATCCTTAGCGGCGGCGGTGGCGGCGTGGGAGAGACGGCTGCTGCTGCTGCTGCTGCTGCTGCGGTGGCTATGGTGGTTGCGGAGAGCGGGCTGAGTGGCGAGGGCAGCTGGCGGCGGATAACGCCCGGTCGCTCGCCGTCTCAGTCCAGTCGGCCGACGACGGACGGGTTTGTCCGGGTGGCTGCCACGGTGGACGGAGCGCCGACGAGCACGTCACGCATGGGGTCAGATCGCAGCACGCTTCGAGGCCTGGGGTCCGTGTCAAGCAGGGACGTGGAGAGGATGGTGGTGACCTCCCCTGTGGCGGGTGTCAGGCCAATGATCAGGCCTATTAGCGCAGGTGCGGATAAGGAGGAGGCGGAGAAGGGGAAGAATGAGGAGGGCGGGGAGGTGTGGGATGCGGGTGGGTTTCGGCGGGAGGTTGAGGAGCGGCTGGGTGCAGTGGAGCAGCAGGGCCGCTCGGCCATGCGGCTGCTGATGCGGCTGCATGGCCAGGTGGCGGCGCTGCTGCGGCTAGGGGAGGAGGGCGGGGGCCCTGCCAGGGGGGTAGCGGCAGGGCTACTGGTGGCCGGGCTGGGATCTGGTTCTGGTGTGGGAGCGCGGGTGGACGCAGAGCAACCGCAGCTAGGGGGACCGGGATGCGGAGCGCGAGCGGACGAGCGCGTGGAACAGGAAGCGAGTCTGTCACTAGCGGACGCAGGAGCGCACGCAGAGCTAAGATCCGATGCGGACACATCAGCGGAGGCGGCGGGGCAGCCTGCGGAAGCGAAAGCAACAGCAGGAGCGTCAGCGGGAGCGGGCCTTGCCCCGCTTGGGAGGGATCAGCTTTCGGACCAGCGCGCAGTGGCGCAGCACACCGCAGCGGAGGGGGCCAGCGCAGCAGCCACACCGGTAAACAGATTCATCCAGGACTCAGCTAGCCCAGTTCCTCCGGGCCACGCACTAGCGCATGTTCAGCCAGGCTCAGCCGTATGCAGCAGCAGGGGAACGGTTTCCTAGCAACGCGCCTTGATAGCCTGCCCCCTGACTTTCTTCCGACGCATTTTGTTGCATTTCCGAGCCTTAAAACATCACCACTGACACCACGCCATGCCCCTCTTGTTCCCCCTCCGTGTCCTGCAGATTAGAGCACCTAGCTTCGCACTGTCTAGTGTCACTTCCGCCGGTGCAGGACCGTGCATCGTGGCCGCTGCGGTCGTGACGCCCGAGGGTTCCAGCGCTAGCATGCAGGGGGCAACAATGGTGGCAGCAGCAGGCACCAGGAGTGCTCCCAGACGCTCAGAGGATGCACCGGATCTGTGTGATGTCACCACCCAGCATCCGTCATCCTCTTGCACCGCCCGTGCGGGCGCTAGCGAGCATCCAACAAGCATTGTAGCTTTCCCTTTAGATAACACAGCGCCGCCTGCCGCGGCCCTAGCCGACCGACGGCAGCACCCTGCGGACACCAGGTTCGGCGGCCAGGCAGTTGACGATAGCCAGAGCTGCGGCAAGGCGGTTTCAGACGCTGCCATCACTCAAGCTGAAGCAGGCCTGCCAAGCACGTCTGCAGCAGCTGCTAATACTGCTGATGGTGGTGGGGTCGCCACCTCGTCGCATGCTGAACAGCTGGCAGCAGCCCTGCAGGAGCTGCGCAGCCGTGTTGAGCGACTGGAGGCGGACCGTGCGGCGTGTGAGACCGCAGCCAGGGCTGAGGCGGGTCATGCACGGGCTCGGCTGCATGCGCTGCGACTGGCGGGTGATGGGGGCTGCCCGGCTGGCAGGGCCCCGTTCGAGGAGCTCCATGCTGGCGCTGTGCAGGCCCCCGCTGCGAGCAGTGTAGTGGTCGAGCTTGCAGACGTGCTTGCCTGCATGCATTCTCGTGCCGGGGAGCATGGGCCGGCTGCTAGCGCAGAAGCGGAGGCCAAGGCGGACGACTCGGCTCTAGACGCGGTGGAGGAGCAGCAGGCTCGTCTTCTGCAGCTTCAAGCCGAAATTAGCAGCTTGTCACAGAGGATAGCAAAGCAGGCAGCGGCGCACGAGGCTCGGGTTTCGGAGCTAGTGGCCTCCGTACGGCAGCAGTCCGAGCAGCAAGGAGACCTCCATGCGCTGGTTGCAACCAAGCTGTCCGCTACGGCAGCCGTGGAAAGCAAGCTGGGGGAGCTGTCCTGTGACATGGTCGTGCTGCGTGCAGCCCAGGAGGAGCTCATGGAGCGGCAGCAGCGACATGAAGCAGCAGCGGAGGAGCTGGGCTTGCAACTGCGAGCGCTCTCGGAGGAGCTGATGCAGCAGCGGGAGAGGGCGCACGTGGCATGTACCGGTACCTCTCTTGGGGCATGTGCCACGGTTGCTTGCACAGCCGCAGGCGTGTCGGCCCAGCAGGACGATCAAGACGCTGAAGCATCAGCAGTGCGAACGCACAGCGGTTCAGGCACTGGCTCTCCAGGTGCCAGCTGCACTGCACCACTGGAGCCCTCTGCCGCTCTTGTGACTGCTGGTGGCCCCCCAATGGCAGAAGCCACGGAGGCTCGTGAGGGGGGTGTAGCAGCCTGGGTTGGTGAGGAGCTGGCGGCGCTGAGGGCTGAGCTGCGGCGGCTTGCCGACGTGGTGGCAGCCAGGCAGGAGCGAGCAGCTTCGGTCAAATCTTCGTTTGATGTGTCCTTAGCGGCAGCCCCTGGTGGCGACGGCAGCTGCGAATGCGTGGCCGGCATGCGTCCTAAGCTGCCGGCAGGGGCTGGGCAGGAGCAGGGGCAGGAGCAGGAGCATGCATGCATGCATGCCTCGGCGCCCGTTATTGGCAGTGCGGAGGCCTTCCCGGAGGGCCTCCTGCGGGAGCTTGTGAGCCAGCAGCAGCAGCTGGCTGCGGAGGTGGCGGAGTTGCAGGCGGTGTTGAGGGAGCATGCCGCGCCTCATGCGGTCTTTGTGGATGCGACCGGGGATGTCTACCCGGCTGCAGCGCAGGAGGCGCAGCAGGCAGGCTGCAGGCAGGCTGTCGCAGCAGCAGCCCAACCTCATCCGGATGTCCATGGCTCGTCCCCTCCTAGCATGTACAAGACGCTACGGGACGGAGCAGCAATGCGTGTTGCGGAAAGCGGTGACCGGCTGGAGGAGCCCAGCAGCCTCGAGCAGTCGGTGCGGTCAGCGCTGCACAGCGGGGAGGACGGCGGCGGTGGGGCCTTGAAGAGCCTGGCGGCTTTGCAGCACCAGGGCGCAGGGGCTCGCGATGTGGGCGTCAATGAGGACACGGACTGCAATGAGCAGTCTGATGTGAAGGAGCCCAGTCGGTCAGCCAGGTCAGGTTGTGCCCTCGCGTCGAGTGACGATGGCGCCGGCGTGGTTGCAGTTGTTCGGGAGGTGGAGTCATGTCAACCGTACGGCGATGGGAGAGAAGCTGACGGCGGCGGTGCGAAAGCGACCCGCCCTCCAAGTCGGCTGCTGCATCTGTACGCGCTGCTCTCGGAGAGCGTCATGGAGCGCTTCAGCACGATGGAGCAAGCGCTACTGAGGGTGAGTCCTGGGCTGGGCAGGGCGGGGCTGGGATCATGCCGCGGTGTAAAATGCTGGGTGCGGTTCTGCAGCCTTTAGGTGTATGGTATTCGCCTGCATGAACACGGTCCCGCAGCTACTCCCAGGCTATGGGAAAGTATCTTGAACCTTCTAGCTCACTGATTCTTGGTTTTTGATGCAATATCGGTATGTTGTCGTGCAGATCGCCCGACAAGTTGACAAGCTACAACGGGAGCTCAAACGGTACACCGAAGCTGAGCGAGGCGGCGGCTCGGATACCCTCGTGGCGTACATGGGGGACCCGAGTGCCGGCAAGCTTGTCAGCGTTGACGGCGCGATGGCACGAGCCGCCAAACGGATGACACGCAAACAGCACTCCGTGACCTTTTCAGATGGTTGAGCACACGGATGAACATGCAGTGGTTTAGTGTCTGTGCAAGTGTTTGTAGTGGAGTCGCATTTGGGCTCGTAACGCTTTGCATGACGCCGTACGCATGGATCTTTTGGCGAAGGACCTCTCCTGACCGGACCGTTACCCTGCATGACCCACCTTGGCTGTGAAGGCGCTGATCATGACCACCCTGCGCAACTGTTGCCGCGCTAGTAAGTTAATGCATTTGATGCCCTCTTAAGTCCCACGGAGGTAGACTAATTAGGATATCGCCTAGGATGCTATTTAGGATGAGCTAGAACTGTTATAACCACTTGTACTGAACTTTACTGGGTACTTTGGGCTTACTTACACTGCACACTTTGCTTTTAGTGCTGATTCGAGGAGTGAGACTTATATTACACCAGGACGTGGAGACGTCTTTAGCCAAAGCCACATGCGCGTACCGTGCACCTGCGCAACGTTATGATCATAAATACTAGGCAAGGTGGGCCAGGGGCTAGCATGTAGCTAACCTTTTGGGGTGTTCTAGACCCCCTATGACCTTGCCTAATGTAAACTTTGTTTCACGGGTGTAACACCAGTACTCCTGTCCAACAGGGCAATGCCATAAGGATGTGTTCATCATGGCCCGTAGCTTGGGACCGTTGGCTTAAATGCCCCTTGCCGAAGCGGCCGCCCTGCATGCCTGGCGCCCACAAATATGCAGGCATATACAACACATGCAACACGCCGGGTCCGACAGAGTGTACAGTAGAGTCCAACAGAGTCAGGATCAGCATTGGCAGCCCTTGCCCCAACCCGCAAGCCTCCCCAGCCTAACAACAGTACAGTGTCAGTATTTTTCAATTACAGCAGAACCCAACCCCCTAAAATCCTGTTTCCACCGTAACCGCTCAGTCATACCTCACAAGGCACACCGCTGACAACGTACACCAACGAGGCCTGGCCTCTCCAAACAATGCCTCAACAACGCCATCACACGTACTCAGGCTCGTAAGGCTGCATGCCGCGCTCTCCAGTGCCCAACTCCATGGCTGTCTTAGTTGAGCCCCCGCCAGCGCTGGAGCTCACAACCGGCACATCGCCGGTAGCTGCACGCCGCCCGCCGACGGCAGCGTCATCCACAAAGGCTAAGCGCCCGTTCGACGGCTGCGGCACCGATGCTTCGGAGCTCCTCCTAACGACGGCGCGTACAGGGTCGGCCACAGGCCCGGTGGCGGAGAAGGTGTACGTGACGTGGGAAGCCGTACCGGATGCGACCAGCCCCTGCACGAGTGTGCCGTCCCTGCTGCTTGCCCATTGCGGCTGCACGCCGTTCCGCGGAGGGCGGTAAAAGTCGCTGGACATTGACACGGTGTGATGTAGGGGAGGGACGCTGGCGTCTGCAGCCATCACTCCCGCCTGGCTGTCACTGCTTTCCCAGTCGGCTGCACTGACCACCTGACAGGCCGGAACAGGCGCCTCGCCCCAGCTGCTCCGAGTGGGCTCGTCCAGCTGCCGCGAGCGACGTGCAGCCAGGTTGTAAGCGAGCGGCCCCACATAGTTGGCAGGCGCTTGACCATCTGCAGGGAGACAAGTGTACCGGTTTGTGTTAGCCGGATGTCCGCACCACAGTATAAGCGTATTGGAGCCATGCTGCCATAACGCGATGGCATAACGCGGTGTATACCGGTATATTCTTAACGATGATACTTCTGTATCTCTGTGTCTTATGGATGCGTTCACGGCGTACCTTTCTGCGCCTGTCCTGCCGGGCCCCGCATCAACCCTCGTTGTAGCGGCCCAACAGCTTTCATGCAGTCAGCCGTATACGTGTTGATCTCACGCAGCGGCGTGATGAGGTTAGCCTTGTGGCTCTCCGACGGTGCAGGTCCGCCCGACCCGGCCGCGCACCCTGCAAGGTGAGCCGGGTTCGCAGCGACCTGCGTCGCCGTTCCCATGGCCCCTGACGCGCTGTTGCTGGCGGCTTGCAGGGTACCTGTTCCGGCATGAGGCACAATGCATTATTAATGACTGGAACTCTTGCACATGGAACCCGGTTTTCGGACAAACACACAACAACATTTACATACCTGGGTCAGACCGTGCAAAGCCGCGGTACTGCTGCTGGTCCGATTGCTGCTGAACCTGCTGGTCCCTCACAGCGGTGTCCCCTTGACCGCTTTCCCTGCTAGCCGCAACCCCAGCTGCTGGCAACGTCCACCCGCTCGTGCCGCCGTCCGTCCTCATGCGGCCCGCCGCAGCGGCCAGCGGTGGCCGCCCAGGCCCCCGCTCCGCCCTGCTCTGGCATCCGGCCATCACCCCTGCTGGGGCCCGTGCCTCTCCGCCTTGCGAAGACCCCGTGGAAGCCCCCCCGCATGTAGCCGCTTTGGCGCGTTGCTGGGCCTGCACTGCCATGTAGTCCTGGTGCGTGTAACCCAGCAACACAGTGGTCATCGCGTCAGGTCGGCCGTCCGTCTGGTGCTGCAGTGGGCCAACCGTGAAGACAGGCAGGTATCCAGGCGGAACCAGAGCCTGCTGGCTGCCGGCGCCCTGAAAGTGCTGGAAGGCGATGTTGTGATGTGGGTAGTGGCTCGGGGTGGTGTTGGATCCCGCATCTGCATGCGTTGCCTGCCGCTCTTGCCCCGAGGCGTTGCCGCCGCTTCCTGTTGATACCGGCCTAGCTGCGCCTTGTGGGCACAGGTCAACGATTGATGACCGAGGGGCCGCTGCTGCCGCGGGCCCAACAGGTGCCATGCTAAGGCCAACATCTGCCGCCTCCTGCGACCTGCAGTTCCCCTCGGCTGCTCCTGTCAAAGCAACCTGCTCCTGCCCCGTGCTTCGCCTTGGAGGGCTGCCGCACGAGACCTCAAGCGTCGGCTCTTCGGAGCTCTGCGTTCCTGTATCCGGCCCGCTTGACTCATCCCTTTCGTAAACGGTGCTGCCAGCCATCTTGGGTTGTGCGTAGGCCATTGCGTAGCCCATAATGTCCTTAGCCGGAGTGCACAGGGGCGTGACGGCTGGGTTGGAGGAAGTGGCCGGAGAGGCGTCATGGTGTAAATCGGGCTGCAGGCTTCGCGGCGGCAGCTCCGGGGACCCCTGCGGCAGCATGACGCTGCGGTCCACAGAGGCCGCAGCGGAGCGCTTGGTGGCGCTGAGGAGCGCGGGGTGCTCGTCCCGATCCACGATGGAGGGCAGCGGGATGCTAAAGATGTCATGCGACCGAGAGCGCTTCTGAGGGCGCTTGTTCGCGCTATCGCACGGCTGATGCACGGGCGTGGAGGCACGCAGCCCACTGGCCTCAGGCGCAGAGGGTTTGGTGACGCGCACGGTTAAGCCTCCGAGCTCCAAAGGCTTGGCGCCAAGGCGTTGCATGGCCGGCGAGCAGTGCGCGTACTCGGGGCGTGACGTCGGAGTGGCCCCGCCTGGGATTGCGCAGGCGGTGCCGGCGGCCCCCTTGGCCATGCAACCTATGGCCGAGGCGGAAGGGGCTCGGCAGCCGCTCTGCGAGAGCGGGGGCCGAACACTCGACGCGGATGCCGTCGGGACTGCGGGTGGTGCCGGGGCCGGGGCGGGCACTGATTTGGGCGCCCCACCGCCAAACTCGCCCATGGACCGTCGGCGAGCGACCGCTGCTGCAGCATCCGCAGCGAGTCGCTTCTGCATCATGGGGCTTGTCGCAAACTGCTTACTAGCGTAGCCGCTAGGACACGCGCCACATGTGGTGCTGTTGCTGAGGCTCACGCTGCTGGACTGGGAGGCCAGCGACTCCCGCGGGCTCCCGCGCGAAGACGCGCCAGCTGCCTGCGAGCAGCGACCCGCTGTGGCAGCCGGCAGGACAAAGGGGTTGAGGTTTGGCGTGGTTTGAGTGCCGACGACAAGCCGGAAGCCGGACTCTGCTGAGCAGGATGCGGGTGTTGTCTGTGTGCCGACACCCGAGGAGTGCAGAGCCATGGACCCGGCAGCGGCAGTGGCAGCCGGGGACGGCTTGTTCGCTGCAAAGGAGCTGAGAGAGCACTCCGCCTCCGAGGTGGCTGCGGCGCTGATGCTGGCAGCGGGCATCAGGTCCCGGCTGCCGAGGAGCCGCTCCAGCTGCCGTACTGGCAGCTGTGGCGAAGGAGAGAGATCCTTCACCAAGGGCGGAAGCCCGGAGTGCTCACGCGGCTGCCTGCGAGGCGGGATAAGGGCTTAGGACATGAAGTGTATGTTGTGTTGGTGACCTACACGTGGCGATCCACGTACTTCCCAGCTAGTTTGACACCCTTAGGCATTCATTAGGGCAGACCTTAACACAACCCAGGCACGCCCAACCTGTACGGCGCGTTTCACCTGTAACCGTCAGCTCCATCGTAATCGCTGATGTCGCTAAACGCGCCCGGAGAGATAAAGTCGCTCGTCCCCGCCTGAGCCATGCCATGAGGCGTGCTATCTGGAAGGGGCGTGCTGGCCATGCTCGTCGCGCAGGAGGGGCTGGGGTCCGCCCCAGAGTCGGCACCTAGCCGGGGTGTACGACTCTGCTGAAGACGAGGTGTGAGCAGCGTCTTGACGCGGGACGAGGAGCGTGTCATGGACAGCCGTACACCGACCTTCCGTGTGCTGCCCGAGTCCGGTGCCGCGGCAGCCGCAGCCGCCGTACTTGCGCGAAGCTTGGAGAGGTCGAGCTTGGGCGGCGACATGGCCTTGGGCCGCATGTGGGTGAACGGTGAGCGAGCCGGCATGGGTGAAGTCACCGCGGGCTTAGCGCGCCTGCAAGGACAGGACACATCGTCGTCAGTGACATTGTACGTGCAGGCACGCATATGACACAAGACTGACAACCTTCCTGAGCCGAAAACCCCGGTCTTACTCTTGCGAAGGAAGGCTTTCCTCCGGGATGCGTCCAATGCTGCGTCCGCCAGCCGGTGTACTGGTGTTTGAAGGTCGCTGCCCTGGCGTGCCCGACCCGCTGCTCCATCGGCGACCCGCACCGCCGCCGCTCGAGAGGTGAGCCTGCCTTGCTGCCGCCCTCAAGACGTCGCCGGACGGAACGCTGATCCGCATCAGTGCTTCACGGCTAAACTGCTGCAGCCCCTGCACCAGAGTCGTCTCAGCGGTTGTGGACGACGAGCCGCCAGCTCCAGGGGAGGTGACTGGCGGGGTGGCGGCAGCGGGACTGACCAGGTTGCTCCCGCCAGGTTGCTTAGGTGTATTGATGTTGCCCAGGGAAGCACTGGCGCTTGGAGGAACGCCTGTGGCAGCTGGACCTGCAACAACGGGAAGCAAAACCTTAGCAGATGCTCTTGAGCTTTGGAAGACGTTGCTCAATAGGAGCAGCCGTAGCATACAGGCAAGTAGGGTGCAAACAAAATAAGGTATTGAAACGCCCTACGCACTTCGAGCGGCGTAGCCAGGTACGCCGGCGATGCTTTGCCGAACAGTGATGTTCTGCTGCCGAATGCGCTCCCGTGCACCTCTCTCCGTAAGTAAGGCCTTGCGCTCAGCCGGCGGCAGGCGGCCGAAAGCGCGCACCGCGCTGAGGATTCGTGCCTTCGGTCCCGGGTCGCTGATAGGCGTGAAGCGGCTGCCGACACGCCCTCCGGAGAGACCCCGCGAGATGCTGCCAGGTGTTGCTGCAGTGGGCGTCCGCTCAGCAGCTACCTTGGCCTTGGCTGCCTGTAAGGCGGAGCAGCAACGGATATAAATGCAGGCAGTGCATGGGTAGCCGTGCGTGGGCTTCACCGTGACATGCGGGCTTACCCGCACATCGAACTCCGCGTTCTCTGCATGCGCCTTCGCCAGGTCCACAGCGAATGAGTACAGCACGTGGAAGAATCGCTGCATGTCCGTGCGGTCGTTGTTGCCGTTGTAGTAGCCCCGGATCTGCATGAACACTTGCTCGGCCTCCTTGGCCGCAGCCTCCACCGCGTCGAGAGTCCCCATTGCCTCCCATAGGAAGCTGCATCCGGTGGCCTACGCATGGCATGGAAAGGGGGTTGAGGTGCCGTCAACCATCAACAACGGAGGGCAGCAGGAGCAGGAGCCAGCAAGCAATATATGCGTCCAAGCCACACCCTTACCTGGAACGGCGTGACAGGCTCCGCAGACGGGTCCGTGGGCAGCTTGGCGGCCAGATCCTTCAGCCTCGCCCGCATGCTACGCAGCTCCTCAAAGATACCCGGCATGCTGAGGCGGCTGGCGGCCTGGCAGGAGCTCAGCTGCTGCACCAGCGACTCGCTAGGGTACTGCCGCAGCTGCTGCCTGTGTGAGCGCATGGGGATGTTGCAGGAAGGAACGCGTTAGGCGCGTTAGGGGGCAGCTTCTTAGGGATGCCATGGTGTGCGCACCTGGCAACAAAGTGCAGCAGCGTTTGGCCCTTGTTGTTGGTGGATTTGACGTCACGTAGCCGCAGCAGCGTCTCCAGGTGAAAGCCGACGGCGGCGCCTTGTGGCGACGAAGCGTTGAGGAAATTGCCAATCTCCAGGGCGAGCTTGAGCAAGTGCTTCATTAGGCAGCTGTTGCGCACCTCCCGGCATGCCGTGTCCACCACCTCAATCTCCTGAAATATAAGGTCAAGGCGCTAGTGCTTAGCAATGAACAGAATATGGCTACATGAGGCAGTGCAGAGAGGCCTGTCAATTGTCTCCTGTTATGTGCACCACATACTTGCCTTTGACAGGGCCTCCATGCGTCGTGGCATTGAAGCCATGGCGATGCAGAGCCGCATCTTGGGCGCCAGTTCGCTGGCTAGCGGCAAGAGCTGCAGCGCATGCACGGAAATGGGTCAACGTCATGTTAAGTACATCAACATGCAGACATACGCCGTGAGGCCTCAGCATGAGCAGCACAGATTGGCATTAATTGTCATAGCACCAGGATCGTAAGTTAGCAACCAACCTCAATTAGGAAGTTGTCCGCCTCATTGAGGCAGGCCCTGTCTCCGTGATACGCCTCCAGCCTCTTGCGCTCGTCCTGTAGGCAGGTGGTACCAGGCGACCCATGGGTCAAGGATAGAAGCAACCCCACGCCTTGCAAGCATTGCAGCCTAGGGGAAACTCAGTGGAAGCCAGGGATAACAGGAGGACTGTAGTAGCCAACCTCGCTGGGTAGCATCTCAATTATTGCCTCCAGTTGCTCCTCCTCCATTACGGTCTCTCCGGTTGTGGTCATCCTCACAAGCTTCTCCACGATCTGCAGTGGGAATGGGTTACCGATGAGTGCCATGTTGCGACAGGGCCTTGGCAAGGACAACACGCGTTAGAGCTTTATGTAACCATTGCATCCTCCCTCAAAGGATCACGCATAGGCCATACCTGCGCAGGCGTCAGGGGACGGAACTTGGACAACCGGATTGCAATGTTTTGCGCCTTCTTGCCGTCGATAATCGACACCGCGGGTGCCTGACGCTTCGACGCAATGCCTCCCGCTGCCTTGCTCCGACCAGGCAGGGCCACAACAGCGAAGTCGTTCTCCAGGGTTGCGAAGTCTACCTCGACCTGGTTAGGTGGTAAATGCACGGTTAGAAACAAAACATGACGTTGCCATGCGAACGCCATATTGCTGCATGCGCCACATGAGTACACTACACATCCACGGAGCGACGCGCGACCCTATCTAGAAGTGAAATGTCATCCTGCTTACCTTCAGAGGCGTCACCTCAGACCACACGCTATTCTTGGCCGCATACGTCGGCACCTTAGTCCAGTGAAGCTTGCTTGTGGGCTTGCTTGGCAGGGGCTGGTCAGCAGCGGCGCTGTTCGCAGGCGCACCCTGGCCCGCTACTACAGATGTGCCGCTAGACGCGGGCGTAGGGAAGTGGGCCCCCTCACGGAAAAAGGGCGGTGGAGGTGGCGGCGGCGGCGGGCGGACACCTGGTGGGGAGGGCCCTGCCTGCGGGCCTTGCGGGGAAGGCTGCCCTGCACCTCCTTGCAGCAACAGCGGTGGCGCTGGCGGCGGTAGCGGTGGAGGTGAAGGTCCTGCCTTAACCCCTGGTGGCGGCGGCAGCCCTGGAGGGATAGGTGGCGAGGGCGAGGGCGTCTTGACCACTGGAGGAGGAGGCGGACCCGGAGGCGGCGGGATGGGCGCTGTCCTGATAACAGGCGGCGGCGGTGGTCCGGGTGGAGGAGGTGGCGCCGCCGTTTCCACTTTAACCACAGGCGGCGGTGGCGGCCCTGGTGGCGCCGGTGGTGGAGCCGCAACCTTAACGACCGGCGGTGGTGGTGGCCCCGGCGGTGGTGGCGGGGCTGACTTCCACACTGGAGGCGGCGGCGGTCCCGGCGGTGGCGGAGGTGCTGCCGCTGGTTGAGCGGTAGTGGTGAAAGGAGGGGGAGGGGGTGGCCCGGGCGGCGGCGGCGGTGGAGCTGCCGTGTGCCTACCATTGTCGACTGCCTGTCGTGGAGGTGGTGTCTCAGCCTGAGGTGAGGGCGAGAAACCTGCTGCGCGTGCGAGCTCTGGGGACGGTGCTCCAGCGCTTGCAACCAGTTCAGGAGAGCCCGCTCCTTGACAGCTAGCGGCAGCCTCTGGATCGACCGGATGTGGAGGGCTGGCAGCTGTGTGGCTCGCAGGCTGGTCACTGTGGCGGGTCACATCGTCTACAGCGTGGAAGCTCCCATGCGACGCCAAGCACCCAGCATGAGAGCTCCGACGCTGTAGGTTCCCAGCCAGCTCGTCAGGCTCGGCTACTTCGCTAGCAACTGCGCTGCTGGCCAGCACGGTCGCCCCTGCAGCTTCCTGGGCGTCAGACGAGCATGCCAGGGCGGCCATGCTTGCCGCTGAACTCCGGTGCAAGTACTCCTGCATCGCCTCCGACAACGACATGGACGGAAGGCGGGAGCGGATGCGCTCCGAGTTGGGGCTGTGGCCCAGCATCCTGTCCAGCGCCGAGATGGCGTACCGCTTAACCACCGTCAAGTCCACGTCCGCATCTGCCGTCTGCGAACTGGGCCCTGGACTGCAGGAGCTCCGCGCAGCCGCTATCGAGGGGGCCTCGACATCCTCTGCATCCAACGCAACGTCTGCTTCTGCACTCTGCGGGTGGCCGGTGACCTGGTTCTCTGCGCTTACGCTTGCGGCTACATCATCCTGCCCGCCCAGTAGGGCAACAGCGCCATGCAGCTGCTGCCCCTGCAGCACTGTCGACTGCGACTCTTCGCTGCTGCCGCGCTCGACCTCGTCATCGTCCGACTCCCCGTCCGATTGGCTACCGAGACACGCAGTGTTGCCTTCTGGTGTCGCGTCTGTTTGCGCGTTGCTGGTCGGGCATGTGAAGCTGGGCATCGGACGAACAGGGCTGTCGCAGCTGGGCAGCGGGACGACCAGACCGCCGGGAATCGCCGGGTCGCATGTCTGGCTTAGCCGTATCATGCGCTTCAGGCAAGCCGTTGACGCGCCGGCACTGCCATCCTGCTTGTCCTTGGGTGTTGCGAGGTTGCTCTCAGACCCCTCCGGTATGGGCGTGTGAAGCTGCATGAATTTGCGCATGCTGCAGCTGGAACGCCGCCGGCTGCTGCTGAAGTCCAAGCTGCCGACCTGGATGGTACTGCCGCTGCTGCTGGAAGCACGGCTTACAGACGTGCTGCTAGCGGCCGGACGCGCGGCGGCAACCGGGGCCCCGCCAAAGGCCGGAACTGGGCGGGCCGGTTCACCAATCCCCATCAAGGACCGTGAAAAGGTGTCAGGAAGCGCCCGGTTGCGGGCCGGCCCAGCTGTGGGTGCCGGGAAGCTCTGGCCCCGGACCAGCGGCTGGTACAGTTGCTGCTGTGCCAGCTGCTGCTGGCGGCGCTGTTGGGCCGCAAGCTGCGAAGCTGCATGCGCGCGCGAGCTGGCCGTGTCGCCGAGCCTGGTCTGAGTTCTTCCGGCTTTGTCGCGCGGGTCCGTCCGGCTAGTGTCCGTCGTAAGGGAGGAGGTCTGCTGCTCGTAGCGCGCAGGCCGTGCTGGAAGCGCTTTTGCGACGGCTGGGCTGGTGTACCGCTCGTTTAGGATGGGCTGCAGCGGTGACGGCAGGGGCGATGTCCGCTGTGCCAGGGGAGGCGCGTGGGGAATCACCCGCACCGGGGCCGCTGCTGCTGGTTGCGCAGCCGCCACCGCTGCAGTGACGGAATCAGCAGCTGGCACCACAAAGCCAGGGCCTGGAACCATAACCTCAACAAAGCGGACGTCATGCAGACCTGGGGCGTTGGGAGATCGGGCATATGGCAAAGCATTAGACGGATAGGTGGCATTCACTCCGGCAGGCTAACTCTGGCCTGGTTAGTGGCAGGGTTGCATACACTGATTGTACGGAGTGTTCCCACCTGGACTTGGGAAGGTCAAATGACCCACGAGCGTAATCCGCAAGTACTGCTGCACTGGGGCACTTGACGTCCCAATCAAATAGGTTTGCTTCAGTTTTGGCTCCCCGTCGCCCGCCAGTGGAACCTCAACGCCCAGCTGCTTAAAGGGTCCGGATGGGCCGCCACCATGCGAAAAGCGCACAGCGTACGGCAACGTATCCCTGTCCGTAAATGCCACCTGCGCATGGTTCAAAGAGTTGTTAGGCACCGGTGGTGTCGACTATCGGGGCGACTAGCTAAGGTGGATCCCCAGAATGATTGGACCGGCCTGACCTGCACGATAAGGGTATTGTACGATTTAAGCTTCAGCTTAAGCGTGACCTCGCTCTCCATGTTTCTGTTGTAGCTCCTGCGGGTAAGATAGGGATAGTACAAGACGATTAGCCCACTACATGCGTCAGCCAGGACGCGTGACCTATGGGGCCCCATCTGATGCCGCACCTCGTCCGCCAGGTGGCGACGGGTTTGGCCTGAGCCACCTTCTTCGTGCCAAGACCGACTGCATCGTAGATTCCGTTGCCAGTTGCATGGACCAGTTCTCGTACAGCTGACGGGCCTGTTACAGCGCTGGCCGCGCACCGCATGACAACGGGACGCGGCGGCGAAGCTGGTGGGGCTGCTTGTGCAGCTTTCTTTACCGTACGTGCTCCAAGCACATCAAGCTTGCTGCATGCTGACGACCGTCCAGCCGCCTGCGATGTACATGGCGCCACGTTCTCTTGATCTGCCAGGGGATCCACCGAGGTACTGGGTTTTGACGGCTGCGGGCCGCTGCAAGTGCTCGTCGAGGCCCCTGGGACGCCGTCGGAACCTGATCCAAGCTCCGATACTTCATCCTTTCCGACCTTTATGCCCCTGCTGCTGCCAAAAGCTTGAGAAGTCCTGCTATACTTGTCAGCATAGCTCCTACAAAGGGGGAGGTTTCCCGCATGGCTATTGTGCGCAAGTAAGGCGAGTTTTCAGCAAGCTTACCCAATCGACGTCCTGGAGCTCCTTTCGCTTAAAGGTGCTATAGGCGCCCGCTTATTGGGTGCTTGCTGCTTCGCATACTGCGTAGGAAGAGAAAATGGCTTTAGGTACCGGTATCCAAGTATTTGGTTCACGCGAGCCCAGCTAGACTATGCTTACACTAGTCATCTTCAATAGATAAGCATGACAGCCTACGGAAGGGTTGCTTTCGACATTGCACCAAGAAATTGCCTTGCACGCGTTGTGCCTATGTCGAGGACAGCCTTGTAACGCAGCTAAATTTATCACAAGTTGTTTAATAATATGTTACTCGATTACCAAGTGCGAACGTAGTGACGGAGGCGGAGGAAAACCTCAGGCTGTCATTGTTTTCAAACTGTACGGCACGAAGGCAGAAGAAAAGCCGGTAGGGACTCTCAGAACGCTGCTGCAATACGTATGTGGCTCTCAATCCGTCAACCTTCTGGTTTCCTGGTGCAACTCGCAGCAACCATGCAACAAGTGCTGCGAGTGCATGCTAGAACTCACCAGGTCCAGACATATGTAGGATCCAACCCCGCTTCGTCTTTGCTTACTCCTATACTACGAGCATCGACTAGTCGGTGTTTCGGTGGAAATATAGCACTTGCGTCGGCGGCGCATTCTGTGCCAGGAAATGTACATGGCTTCTCCACAACCCGCACGAGGATAAATAAAGCACCGCGATTGACTGGCTCGCTTGTTCAGCCCAAGGCGTTGGCGTCTGGCACGGAGGCATTCTTTTCAACCGAACATGACAACTTCTCCAGCATGGGCTTTTCGCCCGAGATGCAGCAAGCCCTGGAGGTTGCGGGGTTCACGAAGCCCTCGAAAGTGCAGGTAGTAAAGGTCACCGGGACTGTTGTGGGTAGAGGTCTTGCGAAGGAGCTGCCACATCCACGGATGGCTATTGTCTAGAGTTGTCACCCGCGTACCTCACTGGTATCGCACAAGCGTAGTCTCCTTTCCTACACGGTCCTCAAATACCTTTCGTTGCAGGAGCTGGCTGCACCTCATGTCCTCCGTGGCCGCAACGTCGTTATTGCCGCTGAGACAGGGAGCGGCAAGACCTTGTCATATGTGTTGCCCATCGCACACCTTATGCTGAAGCAGCGTCTGGCGCTGCAACCGAAACAGGAAGGAGAGGGCGACGACGCGGGCGCCACCGGCAGGTATGCCCACACCACGAGTGCAGGGGACTTTTGGGATGCATGTAGGGGCCCACCCCATCCTTAAAGCTTTAGGTTGCTGACCATGGGAGCTATCTTCTGTGGCTTAGACCCTGCAGCTTGTTTTGCATGCTGTTCTATGTGTATCGCAACCAACAAGGGACCATATCTGTGTCGCTCCACACAGGTCCCGACAGCGGCGGTATCACGCGCTGGTGCTGTGCCCCAACACTACGCTATGCCAGCAAGTGGTTGCAGCCGTGAAGTGTCTCCGTGGGCCGGACGGTGAGCCGCTGGTGACGGCAGCCCACGTCAACAGCAGCAACCCCCCGCCCTTTGAGGCGCCAGATGTCATCGTCGCGACGCCCGCTGGCCTGCAAACGATCTTGAATGATTCGGGCGGCGCATACGGATGGCTCTGGAGCGAGGATGGCATGCAGGTGCGAATGGAATGTGGGGCTCTTGGCGCCGCGTTGCATGTGATCCTAAAGGGCATGCCCCATCCCTTTACCTGCAGGCGCGTGTACGGCACGTGATTCTCGATGAGGCGGACCTGCTGCTGGGCAACGCGTACAGCAAGGCCACGCAGAGCTTGCTCGTGGTAGGTGGGAGGGTATCCCCCTACTACTGTTTAGGCATCGGGGCCCAAAACGGTATGGTGCAGGGTCTTGAAGGGCTGGTTGTAGCACTGTTCCCCAATTATGATGACCAAAAAACGTAATTGTCGAGTACGCAATCGGGCCATATTCGGCTTTCGGTGGCCCCAGAGGCCCCTCTTGCTCTTTCGGTACCTAAGTGCTCTGCTCTACCCCCTCGACCACTCTCTTTCTCCCGCCGGTCGGCCACAGCTCTTCAAGACGGGCGACCGTCGCCGCGTGGAGGCGCGTGTCTTTGAGGAGCTCGGCATCGCGGATAAGTCGGAGTTTGACCGGCTGCCGCGGCCCATCCAGCAGGCGGCATGGCAAGGTAGGATTGCAACATGGGGATGGGGTCAGAACGCTCCTGGGCTGGTCGGTTGCATGCCTTGCATGAGGTCCCTGCTGAACCCGCAACTTGCTGCTGGACAGGCGGTGTGCCGGCTATGCTGGCCGCGGGCTACAAGCCCAAGCGTGCTTTGGACCCGGAGGCCAAGTATGGTCCGTACTGGCGGCGGCAGTACATCTACTCGGCAGCAACCATGCCGACCATTACCTACTCGGATGTCGGGTCCCAAATTCAGAAGATGCACCCGGATGCCGTGTGGGTATCCACCGAGCTGCTGCACCAGAGCAAGCCGCACCTGGAGCACAAGTGGCAAGAGGTAGGTTATCAGGGCTACAGGGCTGATGATGATTCCCGTTGCTTCGGAGCCAGATTCCTTGCACTACCGTATGCTATCCTGTTCCCTGGCATGTTGCCCGGATCGGCCTTTCCCTTAACCATGGTCACCATGCGCTTTTCACATGTGCTGTCCTGCCTATATCTAGGTATCAGACGAGACGTTCGGCCCCGTGGTGCTGGAAGCCGTCCGCTCCGACCCTGACTACCAGGCGCGCAGCGGCAAGACGCTGGTCTTCGCTGCGGACGGCGCCTCCGCGGATGCGGTGTCTGAGGTGCTGGCGGGCGGCCATGTGCCGCACGTGGTGTACCACAAGAGCCGCAACATGGCCGATCAGGCGGCGGCGATGGAGACGCTGCGCAGCCAAGACGGGGCGGTGATGGTGTGCACGGATGCGGCTGCTCGAGGACTCGACGTGCAGGGGATAACGCATGTCGTGCAGGTGGGAACGGCGTGGCATATGGGTTTGGTTTGGTTCTAGATACTCAATTTCCTGCATATCACAGCTCACACGCTCTGAGCCGCTGACACCCTCATTTGCTTCCTGTTGTTAGAGCACTGAACATGTCTGCTCCGCTGCCCCTCCCTCAGGCTGATTTCGCTGCCAACGCCATCGACTTCATCCACCGGATTGGCCGCACGGCGCGCGCCGGCCGCAGCGGCCGAGTGACGTCGCTGTACCGCGCTCGCAACAGCGCGCTGGTGGACGTGCTGCGGGACTACATCAAGGAGGGGGTCCCGCTGGAGGCGGCGTTTAGCAGGGCGCGGTCGTTTAGCAAGAAGCTGAAGAAGACGGGCGGGGTCTTCGTGCCGCGCGGTGTGTCGGTAGCGGGCTCGCAAGCCTCGGAGCAGGGGACACGTGCTGCAGAGGAAGGCACGACTGCCCGTGAGGGCGGCGATTCCAAGGCGGAGGAGAAGGAAGTGGAGCATGCAGGCGTGGGCGCAGGGCGGTGATGACGTGCTGGTAAAAGTTGGCGTGTTGTGTTCTGACGCATGAATGCATAGGACAACTTGAAGCAGTCGAACAGTATAACAGGCTCATCACGGCCCGTCAGGATGCGAGTCATCGCATTACCGTATGCATGCAGGATGGCACCCGACTTAGTATTACAGGCTTTACGCAAACACCCTGACGCCATACACAAGGCACTGCATATATGACACGCCTTAATGTAAGTCTACGACCTGACTTGTAAAGCGCTCAGCCATAAGAGAACCCATTAACCATGGATTCAATCCTTGGGCGGTTGCAAGTGTACCAGCGCTTGCCGTACATCTTTCAACAACGGTTCGCAGCTGGATCCTAACTGTGATAGCAGCTCGGCAAAGCCACGTAATGGGCCCAACAGCCCCTCAATACGGGACAATGAGTTCCGAATCTCCTCGTTGCTGTCGTCAAGGCCCATCGCATGCACCTGCACTGTCAGCGATTGCCCACTGCTGCCATGGCCTGCCTCCGCCTTGTCTGCCAGTTGGCATCCGTCGCCATTGCGGCTGTCATCAATTCCGGAAGCACGTTGCCACTGTGTTGAAAGCGACGCCGCGGCCTTTCGCAGGTCTAAGCCCTCCAGCAGCGCTGTTAGCCCCGCGCATCCCGCACTGCCACGCGGAGATGCACCGCGCCCCATGCCCTGACAGCTCAACCCAAACGGATTTGGAGGGAGCTCCAGCGCCGTGCCGTTCAGTGCCCCTGATCCTCCCCCTCCGCCCTCCTGCGTCATTCCGCGCCCTAGGCTGCCCCCAGACCACGGTGAGTCTTGCTCCATGGACTCCCCCCTGTCGCCCCCTGCGGAAGCACGCAGAGGCTGAACCGCCTCCGCCAGTTGATCCCGCAGGCAGCCGTACAGGAACTCAGCTCGCCGCGCCAGGGTCTCACGCACACGGCGCGCGTCCGCTGGCCGCGCCAGCGTCAGCAAGTGCAGCAGCGTTGCCCTCAGCTGCGCTGACAGCCCTGCTGCATACCGGTAGTTGGGGAAGCGCCCGTCGCCACCATCCGCATCGCCATCACCTGCATCCCCTGCTGCAGCCGCAGAGCCGCTTTTCGCCGCTGGGGTCGCGCTGCCTGCAGAAGCCGTCGGCCCGCCGGACGCACCAAAGCCACTCCCGCCGCCTGCACCTCCACTGAGCCCCTCAAGCGCCCCCGCCACCACCAGCAACGCGTCCGGCAGGACATCACCGTACGCCTCCCGATTCGGCAACGCCGCCAGCGCCGCCGCCGCATGCGTCCGGATCTTAAAGTTCGCGCTCTCCCGCACCAACATGACCAGCAGCAGCAGCAGCGGCGACGTGCGCACCGCCACCTGGGTGTGCGCCAGCAGTGCCCTGTTGCGCAGCAGCCCCAGCACCGCGTAGCATGCATTCCACTGCACCTTCATGCTGCCGGTTGTGAGCGTGGATTGTAGGCACGTCAATGCGCTATCCAACCAGGCGTCCAGCTGTACTCCGCCACCGCCGCCACCACCACCACCGCCGCCGCCGCCGCCGCCGCTGCTGATGCTGCCCGAAGGAGCTGCCAACCCCGGTGCCATGTCGGGTGAGAGCGCCGCAAGCAGGTTCCCCACCGCGCGGACACCGTTGGCGCGCACCTTGTCCGCGTCCTGAGTGGCGGCGATGGCGGCGCCGCACAGGGCCGCCAGCTGCAGGTAGTGGTGCTGCTGGAGCTGCGGCGGCTGGCAGCGCCCTGTAGCCACGTCCCCGCGCCCGGCCCCCGCAGAAGGCCAATCCGCAGCAGACGAAGTCGAGGTGGACGCATGCCCGTGCGACTGTGATCGCACCAGCAGCAGCTCGCGTTCCTCCTCCTGGCTGCCATGTTGCTCGCCGTTCGCCGCCCCCCTGCAAACCGCTGGCGCCTCCTCCAAGCGCCGACGGTGCGCGTCGCAAAGGTTGGCGACCGCCCAGCCGGCTGCAATGCGTACGGACAGCACCGAATCCCGCAGGCACGACGACAGCGCGCGGGTCACCTGGCCGCTCAGCTCCGCGTGCGCCAGTACGGCAGGGAAGGCGGCGGCGGCGCCCAGGGCCTTGCATGCTGCGGCGCGGCTTGCGGCCACTGCATCCGCCGCGGCCGCTTCGCTGAGCAGTGCTAGCACCCGCTGCTGCAGGTGGGAGTCCAGACGGGAGAAAACGGGCTCGGGGACCTCCCCCAGGCAGGCCAGTCCGGCAGAACGGACCTGAAGGGGACCACGTGAGCGGCGGGGGCAAGAAGGGGCAAGATGTGGGTGGAAGGAGGCAACGTCAGGGGGCTATGCCAGCAACAGGTGGAGCAGCAGGAAAGGACCTGCGTTAAAGCGACGCCAATGCTGCGGCCGCATAACGCAGAACCGCACATACCGTAACCGGACTTACCATGTAAGACACATGCGATGTGGCCGCAGGCACCAGCAGCGAAACCGCGTCCCGCCACATGACCGCCAGCTGCCGTACCCCCGCCTCGCGCTCCGCCGGGCTGGCCGCACAGCCGCCCCCCTGCAACAGCACCCCCGCAGCTTGCTGCTGCCTCGGCACCACAGCCGCTGCAAGCGATACAACCCCCGGAGACGGCGGCGGACCGATGCTCCCACCGGCAGAAGCACCCTCCGAATCGCCAGCCGCGGCTCCGCTAGCATCCGTACGCGCCATGCCGTACTGCCGTGCGACCGCCGCCAGGTAATCCGATACCAACTTCACGGACAGCTGCGCCGCCTTGTCCTCAGGGCTGCTGTTGCTGCCACCGCCGCCGCCACCGCCGCCGCCATTGGGCACCTGTGTCGGCTGTGTCTGCGGCGTGTTGGAGGTCTGCCGCCAGGACTGGCTGCCTTGGTTGCTGCGCTCCGCGGACCGTGCGGAGGTGCGGGCAGGGCTGGGGGGCGCGAAGCCAGCAGCGGCGGAGAGCGAGGAGGAGGAGGAGGTGCGTGAGAGCGGCCCCTCGCGTGTGCGAGCAGCGTTGGGAGAGGGACGCGGAGTGGGGGCGGAGCTAAGGCCCACTGCCGCCGTGGCGCGCAGGTCGCTCCATACGTCTGCGGTGGCGGCCACGGGGAACACGAGCCACATGAGAAGGAGGCCGTAATTCCATCTAAGGCCACCTCCCCTATTTTTCATTCCTTGCTTCCTTCCTTTCCTTCCCTTGCATCCCTTGCTTCCTTTCCTTCCTTGCTTCCGCCACCCCTAAACCGTCCGCTTCTCCCTCCCCTCCACGTCCCTACCCTGCGGCAGGGCTGCCGTGTAGTGCGCCGCCAGCCCCTTCAGCGCCGCCAGCGCCTCAATGCGCAGCACCGCCGCCGCCTCGGGGTCGCGACCCACCTCCAGCAGCTCCCCCACCAGCGAGTGAGCCACCGGGGGGGCCCCGCCTGCAGCAGCGGCAGCATCGGGAGCACCTGCACCACCAGCATCGTCGCCCGGAGCCGTACTACTGCCGTTGCAACCATTGCTGTTGCTGTTGCTGTCAGGAGCTGTGCGGCTGGCGCCTCCCGCGCCGTTGTGCTGCGGTTGCTGCTGGGTTTCCTGCTGCTGCTGCGGTTGCGGCTGTGGTTGTGGTTGCATCAGGTAGGCTGCGAGTCCCGCAATGGGCTGCTTGGTGGCGAAGCACTCGGCGATGCAGGCCAGGTAGGCGGCGTGGATGGCGGCCAGCTCGGGGGCGGCGGCAGTGGCGGCGGCGGAGGGAGCAGCGGACAGGGCGGCCCAACGCAAACGAAGCACCTGCAACAAACATCCAGACCTTGTAGTAGTCTATATCGGGGTACGGAGCCACAGAGACCATGGGAGAGCATTGATGTGTCCCTCCTTGTGCTCTTTCTTCTCCTCCCCACCTTGATTCTGGTCTTCCTATGGTCACGGTCAGTGTTTATAGCGGCTCAGCTTATGGCTCTACCGGTAATCCCCACCTTGATGGTCTCCGGCAGCAGCTCCGGCGGCAACCTCTCCGCCGGCGAGGCCGCCAGCAGCACCACCAGCGCCCGCAGCACCCCCGGCAGCACCCCCGCGCTGCCCTCGCGCGCCGCCGCCGCCAGCAGCCCCGCATGCGCGCCCAGCAGCAGCTGCCCCAGCGACAGCGACAGCGTGAGGAAGCCGCGCAGGGGGGTGCGCGGCGTCATGGAGCGCGCCTCCGCCACCGCCAGGATGGCGCGCTGGGCGGGGCCGTCCAGCAGGCAGGCGAGGGTGGAGGCGGCTAGGGCGCGGACCTGGGGAGGAGAGGTGGGGGGGGCGGGGGAGAGGGAGACGGCATAGGAAGTGGGGCGACGGGTCATCTACCCTAGTGTGCACTAGCACAACTCGATTTCGCCCCGCGACGGCACCAGGAAGGTTAGCCAAGGTTCACACAGCTACCCTTCGTCCCATTTTCCTCCCCTTCGTCTTGAGTGGTGACATGACAAACGATACAAGCATCTTCCATCTCCAACACCCCCCCCACCTTGGCCAACGGGTCGTACAACAGCACCGTCAGCAGGTGCGGCGTCAGCGGCCTGGGCTGCAGCGGCGAGTGCAGCGGCAGCAGCGCCGACCAGTGCGCATGCAGGGCCCGTGGGTCGCTCCGGGCCATGGCCTGGATGCACGACAGTGCCGCCAGCCGCACTCGGGAGCTCCGGAACCGGTCCACCACCACTCCCCCTCCTCCCGCTGCTGCTGCTGCTGCTGCTCCGGCTGCTGCTCCTGAGGCAGCAGTAGGAGCAGTAGCAGCGCCGCTGCCTGCGCTGATGCTACTGCTTGTTGCCAGGCCCAGCGTCAGTGCCGACCCGCCCGTGTATTCCGTGTCACTCATGTCACTGTCCGAGCAGTAGGCGCTGCTGCTGCCTCCGCCACCGCCACCGTCAGCCTGAGACTCCCGGCGACGGAGGTGCGGAGGCCGGTACCTACCCCCTCCCCCTCCTCCTTTTTCTCCTGCCCCTCCCGCACCCCCTCCTCCTCCCTCAGCAGCCGCCGCCGCCGTCGCCGTTACCGCCGCCGCCGCCGCCAGCGACGCCTGCACTCCGTACGTCAGGAAGCGCTGCAGTCCCTCCACCAGCGCCCCCGCACGACCCACCCACGCCTGCCGCGCCGCCTGCTCCCCCACCGCCGCCTGCAGAGCCCGCAGCAGCGCGCCGTACAGCCGGCAGTGCGCCGCGTCCTCCACGGGGCGGCTGCGGGCGGTGCAGCAGTGCAGCAGCGAGGCCAGGGAGGCGACCAGCGCGGCTGCCTCGTCCGGGGTAAGGCTGGTGCTGGTGGTGCTAGGGGTGGTGTTGGAGGGGGCGGAGGAAGAAGAGGTGGTGGAGGATGTGGATTGGGGGCTGGAGCGGCTGAAGCAGGCTGCCAGGGCGGTGAGGGCCAGGCACTGGGACTCCAGTGCGTCCGCGGGGCGGACCTGTGGGAGCAGGTAGGATGAGAGGATGTGGAGAAGAGCTTGTTAACATCTTAAGCATTCGTGCGAAAATCCATGCCACCCCTGCTTAACCCATTATCGTGCCTTCACTCTGGCTCCACCAGGTCTGCCTTACCTGGTGCTGCGACTGCGACTGTGACTGCTGCTGCTGGGATGGCTGCTGGGATGTCTGCTGCTGTTGGTGCTGGTGTTGGTGCTGCTGGTGTTGGTGTTGGTGCGGCACCAGCAGCGACTGCAGGGCCGCCAGCTGCGCCACCCGCTCGTGGTGCGGCAGCGCCCCCAGGTGCTCCGGCAGCAGTACGGCAAGCGCAGCTAGCGCCTCCGTGTGCAGGCTGGACTCCGTGACGATGGTGGTGGTGGTGGTGGCTGTGAAGGCGGTAGATGGGGCGGGGTCGACGGTTGAGCTGGCGGAGGAGGGCGCGGTGTTGGCTGGGAGGCCGGGGGAGGGAGAGGTTGCGGTTGCTGCAGGAGAGGCGGGCTGCATGGGAGGTGCCACGTCAGCCCATTGCCGCAACGCCGCGAGGATGAGGTTGGCGGCGGAGGGGTGCAGTCGGAGGGGGCGGGAGGTGGCGACGCTGGCAAGCAGGCGGCAGAGTGCTACTTGGGCGGTGGTGTCCCTGTTTGGGAGGAAGGATTGGGCAGAAGGAGGCTGTGGAGCTGGCAACCGGTGGAGGGGCGGGCAAGGAACAAATTGCTGTGATTTGCACTGCACTACCGAAGCTTGCATGTTGTCCTGGTCGCTGTCTTTCGTCCCAAGTTGTTACAGCAGGATGGATTGACGATGGGACAACCCACCCCGAGCACGCACCTGTTGGCGTTTCCGCCTTGCGCCGCTCCAACAGATGGTGGCGGCCCCAAGAGCTGTTGTACTAAGAAAGGAAGGTCCTCCGCGAGCTGCAAGGATTGTTTCATCAGCTTGCGCCATGTCACGCATGCCCTTCCGAAACTTCGCGAACAAGGGAATCAGTGTAATTTATTCACTCAACTAACCTCTTGATCCTGGGCCTCTGCTTCCACGGCCTTCAGCTCTTCCAGTACTGAGGACATGCTGGAGCGAGCAACGAACCCCTTTGAAGCCGCTTCCTACAATACCAGATCAAGCACTTATTAAGGCTACGTCTATGGTGTTCAGTATCCGTTTGTCATTACTCCTACCTGCCGGAGCGGCGCAAGGCGTTGGCGCCATGCGCTGGCGCCGCGTCCTTGCGAACGCCACGACATCGTGGGAACTGGCAAACAACTCTTACTGCACTGATCTATATGCACATTTCTTTTTTTCACTAGATGCACTGACGTCCGGTGGCAAGCCTGAGAAGGTGAAGGGCCGGACGTTGGTCTTTGTATATAAGTCGATGGTAGTTTATTATCTACACCGCTGTATGCTGTAGAGTCGTGAAACGTCATCTACCGCCGTAGTGCTTGTACGATTTGCAGACGACTCAGGGTAGGTTTAATAAATGTTGTCGTGAATTTGCCTTTCACCCCTCGGCCCCCACTTTGTAACCCCCCAAAAATATGCAGCACCAGGCGGCGGTTTCGGGATCCGGACGTGTCGGGGTATTGTGCGTTACCGTACAACCAACTTGATCCATAGCCTTAGGGCGTTCAGGAGAGAATGCTCCCTCAAGGGTAACCTTGATATTGCGGAACGATGCGGTATGCCTTAAGAGACGGGTTAACCGTCAATAGCCGAGAATTACATGCGGATACAGATCCCATGCTCCTCCAGCCATCATTCAAACACATTCATCAGATTACCGTAAATGCATCCCCAGGAACTGCTGCATGACATGGCTGCGGACCAGCCAACCATGGCGGCAGCATGCAGCACCACAACGTAAGCACTCCTTTGCATGCATGCATGCACAACATGCATGCATGCAGATGAGTAACTAAAGAACCACAACAAAGCAGCCGAGCGGATGCGCCCCGCAGCGCCAACACAACTCTTCAAATGTCAAAGGGTTAGAGGGACGGAAACAGCGAACCCACATACGCCTAACCCCAGGCAGAGGCAACGACTCACAGATAAGACGTATACGTAGCCCCCTCCGCAGTTCCGTCCCCAGGTCCACAATACACATGCATGTAACACTTACCGTACAACCAATGCAAATGAATACCTCTTTTCTCTACTCACTCTCTCGTGCGCAATCAGCAGTAATGCTTACTTACAGCAGCTCAATCCCTACCCTGCTAACATCCACCACCCCTAGCACCGGTAACGAGGCGCGACATCCCAACAGGACCTATCTGCCGCCGCCATCAACCAAACAACAACCCAAACGCCAGGTGCGCGCTTATCTTGCAGGAGCCCTCCTACCACTCCGCTGCTGCGCCCCTAGGCCAGCCAAGTGCATGCCTCAACCCACGCTAAGCCGGCAGCTAACCACCACCACCTGGCCAACCCGCCTCTTGGAACAACCCCTCCTGAACTCCCCTACCTTCCCTGCTTCTCTTGCTCTATAACCAAAATGACACCGGCACCGCCAGCAGCAACACCAGATCACAGCAACCCTGCAGCGCCATGGCAATTGGCACAAACACAAGGAACCCCAATCCTCCTCATTCATTAGTTCTTTCCTCCTCCTCCTCTTCCGTCCCTCCGTCCCACCTCTTAGATCCAGATGTCGCTGCTGCAGTCGCCGCCCGGGTACCGGATCTCGTGCGCCAGGGAGGGGCCGCCCGGCTCGGCGCCAAAGTCGATGATCCAGTCCGTGTCCAGAGACATGCCGCCCTTCTCGGTGTCGATGTCGATCTGGGGAGAGGGGCAAGAGGGGATGAGGGGAGGGAAGGAGGGCGATGGCGGTACTGGCAACACCGTAACCAAACACATCCACGGAACACGGCTCATAAGCGGATGACGCCTCATGCTCGAACACCCACAGCCTCCTGCCCTTTCACCCCATGTGCTACCCTTCCCCCCTCCTCTCCCTCCCTTCCCCCCTTTCGGTAAGCAACGATTCGGTAAGTAATTTGAGATGCGTGTTACCGAATGCGCTCACTGCATGAGTCGGGATATGGGATTGGGATTTGTTGTTTCACTTTTATATAATTTTCCCCCCTTTCCCTGTCCCCTGCCCCCCTACCTTGAGCAGGTGACTGCCCTTCTGAATCATCTCCGGATAGAACTGCCGGTCCCAGGGGCTGTACAGGCTGTTGGTGATGTACAGCCGCTTGCCGTCAAGCGACAGCTGCATCATCTGCGGCCCGCCGCGCAGCTCCACCCCCGCCACTCGGGGCACCTCCGGCGCCTCCCCGCCGCAGTCCTCGGGCAGTCCGCCCAGCACCCGCAGCGGCCCGCCGCGGCGGATGAGGCCGCCCAGCCACACGCGGCCCGTCAGGCGGGGGGAGGTGGGGTCCGTGATGTCGTACTGCACGAGATCTCCGCGCAGCCAGTTGGAGACGTAGAGGAAGCGGTCGTCCATTGACACCAGGATGTCACTGACCAGCGGGGGCAGCTCGGGGAGCACCCAGCCCTCAACCTGAGAGGGGGGGAAGACAGAGGGGGAGGGTAGCGGGGGCATCAGGGATGTCCAGTCAGTGCAGAGTCCAGCACGCCGAGGTGTTGCTGCATGGGGCTAGAGCCACGGTGCTTGAACCCCTTTAGTGAAGGAGTAGCCGCGATAGCTGGAAGGAAGGGTTACGCGGTGGCCGTTGACCATTGCTGCTCTACAACATGTTAGGGCGAGAAGCATCGTACCTTGACCCAGGGCTGCTCGATGACCACGTTGTGGACCCATGGGTCGTTCTCGCTGGCGCGGGTGAAGTGGATGATGTTGGAGGACAGCGCTGCGCCCGTGAAGGCGTGCGGCGAGGTGGGCTCGTGCAGGAAGCGAACCTGGCAGCGGGCAGGCAGGCATTATAGAAGAGGTTGATGATGCGACCACAGGAATTGGAACGGACTGAACAGAAACGACCCAGCTTTCCCAGCTCTCTACGCAACCCACAGCCGCCCCCCTCACTCCCTCTCCCCCCCTTACCTCCAGCGGCACCAGCCCCTTATCCCCCAGCTCGATCTTCTGCTTCAGCGTATGCGCCGTCCAGTCCCACACATACACCGTGCTGCCGTAGTGCTCCGCCACCTCGGCGGGGTTGAAGCCGTTGCGGAAGGCCTTGGGCGCACCCCAGGCGGTGCTGAACATCACGTTGAGGCGCGGCTGGTACCAGAAGTCGTAGCCGTACTTGGCCTCGTCGACGCTCCACACGCCCTTCACCGTGAGGTCCTGGTTGAGCTGCAGGAAGGCGCCGCGCGGGTTGCCGTCCACGTCACCCATGGCGCTGATCTGCGGTGCAGGGTGGATTGGGAAAGGTAGGGGAGGGGCGAAGGGAGGAGCGGGGCAGGGAGGAGGTGCGGTGAGGTGTCCGGCAGGGTTACAAGCGCTAACAGGGTTACTGTCTTGCCAAGCGCCAACAGGGCCAACAGCCCCAAGGCGTGTGTCCGCCACTGTGCTGCCCTGACGGTACGTTCCTACTCGCGGCCAGGCCCTGTGTACAATCATTAGGCCACCTCATTAGGCCACCTCATTCGGCCACCTCAAAACGCCGTTACGGTGGTACTCACCATGATGAAGCCGTCCGGGGCGCCTGCGGAGCGGAGGGGGATGGGTGGGGCGGGGAGAGTAGGGGTATCAGTACCAATCCACATCGGGCAGAAGGTGTAGGACCCATGCCGCCCGCGATACGGTACGCAGCTCTAGATGTGCAGCTTGTGAGGAGTTGCGCCGCTGCCCTGTGGGGTATGCTCCCTCTGTCGCAAAAGCCCCCCTCCCGCTACTCACAGTGGGTGGTGTGCAGGTAGGCGAGGCCGGTCTTGGCCAGGATCTCCGAGTTGTCAGCCACGGCCGCCAGCTTGGGAGCGCGTGGGTCGCTCAGGATGTCCAGACCTGAAGGGGGGTCAAAGACCATACCCAACCATAAGATACCACAGGTAAGGGCAAAGCAATGAAAGGGGGGGGCGGGGCAGCGCAGGGCAGCAACGGGGTAGCAGCAGGGGAACGACGTCAGAAACAGCATATCTGCATGTGTTGGGCTCACAAGCAGTGGCAGCAGCAGTGGCAGAACCGGCCGTCAGCCACAGGGCCGCAGGAAGCCGACTTAAGAAGACCTAAAAAGAAGGCATTTCAGAGCAAGGCTGTCGTGTAGACGGCTGCCGTACAACTTACCGTACACTCGGCCCGAGCCCAGAGTGGGCAGCACCAGCAGCTTCCTCGGTGGCGCAGTGGGGTCCAGGAAGCAGGAGGAGCAGGAGTTCCAGCCTAAGACGGGGACAGTAGAAGAAAATGTTAGTGATGTAGAGGCAACCGTGAAAAGCTTCAGTTAGCAGAGATAAAGGGTCTTGTATCCGGGGATAATCCGGTTGCGACGGTCATTGTAAGCAGTAGGGAGACAACAGTGCAGCCAGGATGCTAAACACGTACGACAAACACCAGAGGGTTTAGCATCCACAGTCCAGCATTCCACACGTCCTCCGAGTCCTCACCGCTGTGATGTAGCTCGTCTCCAATGTGCGGCATGTGGGTGCGGTAGATCACCTGCAAAGTGGGCCATTACGACGGGGAAGATCGCCACAAGCAAACACACAGCCAAAAGAGTACGCCTATGCTGCATATACTACGGACACCAATCTATTCATTGGTGAAACACGACATGTAAAGAGCTTCGCCCGCTTAGAGAGGCTCATGTTGTTGCTTCGCGGCGCTTTCGAACAGCAACCCTCACAGCGAGGTGCGGCAATTAACATAGCTTTCCAATTTACCATGTTCAGGGCTTGTCAAGTGCGACATGCCGTCCTCACCTGCTTGTACGTCTCAGAAGTTGGGTCGACATCAACCGTCGCGACATAATCTGGGCGGCTACGGTCCGGGACGATGCATGTAATGTAAAGCAGCTTTTCCCTTGGACCATTCAGAAAGGCGTCCTGAAACCAAAGGCATGAAAAAGTCGTCATGGATGGAACCGCGAGGCCATAAGGCAAAGCCGTCGCAAAAAGTACAGGACAGAAGGTAACTTGTTTCCAGCAGAGTCGCAATTCAATTAGGCAATGTTCATCCTGGGCCGAGGCCTTCAGCAACGTGGCGACGGGCAGCAGCATCCAGCCATCCAGTGGTAGGCCATGGAAGCGCACCTTTGGAGAGGCATAGCCAGGACCCCTTGCGCAGCAGCAGCCGTTTGAAGTAGCCATAATTGGGTGCTTGCCGACCTTGCTTACACGTTGCACAGGGTTGATGCCGAAGGCCCCAAAGTACTCGTGACCTGCTTAAGCTCTTAGGCAAGATACGATCTGACAAAAGTGTTCTTCGACTGTGGATGCAATAAGCCGCGCAAGCTTATTATAAAAGGCCGAAACCCTTAACTGTCCACAACAATATGCCGTACAATAGGTAGTAGGCCTCGTGGCCTCGCGGCCTTTTCTCCAATTACGCATTTAGCGCATAACCTCACTGCTGCAACGACGATCCTGACAATTGCACGCTATGACGTTGATACCGGTGCCTGCATGTTTGCCGAGTTGGATGGAACGAAGGATGGCAGTGTCCAACGACTTGCCACCATGAGGCAACAATTGCGCTGTGCTTAGAAACAGTACGCTTATCCACTACTTGTTGGCTACGGAAATGCATTAAAGGACAGCGTTAATAGATGACTCGACGAGGTTCGACATTTCGGCATTCGCTATCGACATTCGCTGGTTATGTACCCTGAGGCTTTACCTGAGGGGCCCGCACAGTCTCTTTATTCTGCGATGTAGCCATGGGAAAGCATGACACGATCCCACCGCCTGGGCCCGCCTGGGCAGCAGCCCCTGTGGGCAACTGCCAAACCCTGTCAGGGCACCCTTCCTTTTCTGGACTTCGTGAAGCATGTTCCGAAGAGTAACGTAACTTATAGTGCTCGTTATGGCTGGCCTGTTGCCCATGGTACCGGTACGGTACGTGTGGCGGGCCCGCAGTATGTGTGGCGGGCCCGCACACGAACTATCGGACTGCGCATTGCCCTAACAAAACCGCGATGTTCATACAGCAGCATATAGCATCAACACCTTTAGCAAAGTCCTTCCACGTGCGCCATATACTGTTGTACCGCTGTTAGTACGGTATGCGTCATCAAGCCATTTCGGGGGTTCCGGAGCTTCGACCACGACGGAATAAGTAGGGCAACAACAAGGTAGCTGCCATTGCTTGAACACGGAACCCAATTCCCTCCACATCAAGCACATTAGTAGATCAGGATGACGGGCTCACGTGAGCCCACCATTGAGGAGAAGAACCAGTTGAGTCCCGGCGTGCGTTCCGAGCACTCCGCACTGTTTCCGTTTGTTGCCACCTGTCTCACGTATTATGCCAAACAACAGCTGCTGGCCTTAATTGTTTGCTGGGCACATCACTCGCTGCTGTATAGCCTCGCTCCTCACCTCCATCTACCATATAACCAGCCGGTCCGACCGGTTCACAGTCCAAGCGTCCCAAGGGTCACCACTCAACATCACAAGCCCCGCACTACGTGCTCGCTCCCTGCCTGCGCAGGGTGGCTCAGGAGGTGTACGGCGAGGACTACCACAATCTGGGCACCAGCAAGCAGCACAGCGTGGAGGGAAAGCTGGGAGAGACACGCCGCAGGGTGAGGTAGCTGTTAGGATCGGGCAGGGCAGGGCAGGGTCGCAGGGTCGCAGCGCCGACCCCACCTGCAGCTGCTGGCCATTGTGCATTTGATATGGGAAGACAAGATACATATAGCGGTGGTCGTTTCTTTGTGTAAGTCCTTGCGTTGATCTTCAAGCCGGCGGCCAATTTCGGAAGCCCGCTATCTTTATTGGGCACAACTCGTTGGTACCGTGTCATTTACTTGACCAGACTACCAAAGCTTTGCTATCGCCTCTCGGCGTCCTGTCCTGCTTAATAGCCGTAACCCGCGAGTCCCGAACCGTGTGCCCCCCTCGCCCGCCGCCAGAGCGTCCAAAAGGTGGTGCAGCCGGAGGAGGGGCGCGAGCAGCAGCAGCAGCAGTAGCCGGCGGAATGGAAATAGCAAAGCTAAGGTGTCGACAGGAGTAGCAGAAGTGATACGAAGGACGTCACCATTGCCGCAGAGCAACCGCGCGCAAAGTTTGTTAACAGCAGCTTTATGACTTCCAGTCATGTAGCGTAGGGCTATGCGCATGCTGCCTGGCCGGGAGGGCTACGGAGGGACGCTGAGGATGGGGTAGCCTGAAGGGGTGAACCGTGGGTCAGCGCTTGGAGTTGGGGACATTGCATCTGTGCACCGGCTTCAGCAGGGATAGTTGTGAGAGAGTGTTGTCATGTATAGTTGCCTATGGCGTTAGTAATGCTGAATGGATGACTGGGCGTGTTCCGCCTGCATGCATGTAACAGGTTGACAGCAGTGGAGACTGCAAAGCCGCCGTTCCGTCATTACTAACCCGTACATACCTAGCCGCCCACGTGGCAGCACACGGCACGTACGTTCATGCGTTACAAAGCCGCTTGAGCGCCGCATCAATTAGGACAGCTTCTCCGACGCCAATGTCTCCCGGAGCCCCTTTCAGGGCGCAGCATAGGATCCTCAGTACAGGCAGCGGCCCGCGAGAGACGTCAAGGGTTGTCAACCATGCGGTGCAAGACCAGCTGCTAACATTCTCGGTGCCATCTCGGTATCACCCGTTTCCTTCGGACGTTGATGGCATACCAGCAAGGTACCCTACAACGCAATTATCACCACTTTGGGGTGGCTGTACGGCACTTGTGCAACCTTGCAAGCCCTCGGGACAACCCTGCAGCACTCGCCTCTTGACAACAAGCGTCCTACGGACATAGCAGCTAGCGGCATTGACGTCCAAAGCCAGAGCGCTCTTACCAACATCATCACTCATCTCAGATGCACGAAAGAAGCAACCGGCGGCAAGCCCGCACCCATCCGCGCATCATCACAAACCTTCGCCTGTGTCAATCGCAGCAGAGCCAACCCTCTGCTGCAGTCGTTACAACGCCGTCGCCGGCGCCAAAAAGAAGCCACACTGCCTTGCTTTCAAGTAAGTAAACTCACTCCTTCGTCCCGCTTCCCTCCTCCTTCTCCTCCTTCTTGTGCTCCGGCGGCTGCATCATGTGTCGGTAGCCCTCGCTGCCTAGCGCGGCCTGTGGGGCGCGGAAAGTGGCGGAGCAGGAGCGGGGGGCAGTCAGATGGAAGCATGGGAGGGGAGGGGTTGAGGACCGTGACATGCAGGAGGCCCACCCGGCGTGCGGTGGGTGTACCTCCCTTGCAGCAGCGCACCTTACGGATGTTGCCTCCGATGGTTCCCCCCACGCTCATGCGGTCCTGCGGGTCCTTCAGCTCGCTGAACTTGCACCCGAACTTCTCCATGGAAACCCTGAAGGAAGTTGGGGGGGAGGGCACAGGGAGACAAGCACGAAAGGGATGCGAAGGTTCAGCACGCCCCGTGAGTAATCAGAAAGATTTGGCGGCAGCGGTGAGCCGAGTCGGGAGATGTGTGGAGCGCGCTTGCAACGAACGCAAGGCATTGCTAAAGGATTTGCTAATGTAAGTCGCGCAGCATACAGTGCGACCCTTCCTACAGTTCTTGCAGCGACCGGCCAAGGCAGTTGGCTCTCAGACCTACCCTCAGCCATAACGCACTTCTTACGAGAATACCCCACCTGTCCTTCTCCTCCTCAGAAGCTCCCATCTTTTCGCTTTGCAATAGTTAGGCGGGTGGCAGCGGTTAGCTAGCGGGATTCAAGCGGTTAGCTGCTGTGTATATATTGTTGAGTATGCAGTAGATAGCCCTTTCAAAAGCAATATGCCATGAGGCTGTGCCAGGTTAACGCGCATGGGAATGCGACTAGGTCCAGTTGCCTAGTATCGTAGTATGACTCATGTTTCCTCATCAACCAACAACACCGGCGCAAAGGCTGCTTGGTCCATAATACCCGTCCCAAAACACCATACATCTCAATGGTTTTCTTTATGATACGGAACGAAAGTAAACTGGCTTGCCTAGCGCACGGAGACGAAGGAGCAACCGGCCGTCGTTGACGCATCGTGACCGCGTCTGACGCAACCCTTGCATTCACACTAAGGCGCTTGTCTTACAATGCAACGGTCACAGGCGACTACCATAGCTTTGGTTTGTACGGGAGCCTAAGCATGCAAGTGCTGCTTAAAGCTAACACAGCTTGCTCCATGTGCTTGCCCCCCCCCCACTACGCTTCCTCTTACGCCCCTCACCGCATTGCTTGCCCCACGTACGGCACATTTCAGCAGTTACCGTACCGTTGCAGAACGTACGTCCAAACCAAATTCATTTAGTATGCACAGCTAACAAGCAGCGCTCGCTGTACGGCCCCAATAGCAACAAACAACAATGGGGGTCCTGGGAGCAACAGCCGAAACTCCAGAGGCTCTAACAACCCTACTACTCCGCCTCACGATCTCCTCCCTCCTCCTCCTCCTCTTCCTCCTCCTCCTCCCCTTGCTGCTCCTCCTCTCCTTCCTGTTCCTCCTGCTCCTCCTCCTGCTGCCTCTCACCCTTGCCGCCCTCCTTGTCTTCCGGGCGGTTGCTGAGCGCTGCCTGCATACGACACAAACATGATAATTTTAACACATGACGCACGGGAGCCGAGGCGACCATACCGGCGGTAAGATTAGCCTTCACGTCGCCACAACCGCTCACCGGCTGGCTATGCATGCAGGACACGTGAAGGGAACGGATATGCCGCAGCCGGTCACCGGCATGCAATTTGCGGTGGGCTGCAGATGGCTGCGCAAGTCGGTATCTTCTGTCGCCTTTTCAATGCAGCTTCTGCTCATCATGCGGTTATTACGGTAAGCGGCTCAGATACCCCTACCCCGCCCTCATCTCATCACGAGAGTTGGTAAGCAGCAACGCTGGCAGCAGCGCTGGATGCACCGATCTGTGCTATCCCGCCGAGCGACGCGCCCACTACCCACCTTGCGCATGTTGCCTCCGATGGTTCCCCCCACGCTCATGCGGTCCTGCGGGTCCTTCAGCTCGCTGAACTTGCACCCGAACTTCTCCATGGAAACCCTGGAGGGGGGGCCGGAGGGAGGAGGGAGGAGGGAGGGAGGGGCGAATAGGGGAAAGGCGGGAGGAAGAGGAGGGCTCGGTGTCGCGGACGCAGGCTGGCATGTTCAGGAGGGGCACAAGAAGGGATGGTGATTGGTGAATCGCCGTGACGCCAGACGATTCAATAGGTAGTAAGTGGAGCGGCGCAAGACATGTGCTCGGGAAAGCCGACC